CATCGGTTCATTTCTGCTTAACGATACTTATACTTAACTAAGGTGTGTTACTATTGATTTCTCAGCGGGCGACCTGAAAATTATTGACTGCATCTTAACCAATCAGAAGCAACCTGTAGTATTTATATCATGTATATGTCAGGTGAGGTAAAGGTTTATATAAGTCAGTCACATCCTTTAGTGATTGTTAAATATGTTGTATTCATCTGTCCAACTTTGTTACCATGGTTTTGGAATCATCAACAAAAATGTAGTAAATTGCAAAATATGTTTTTAAATTTTAAAATTTAAAAAAAAAATCAACTTTATTTCACCAGCTTTTGGAGTTTGGAGCTACTATGTTTACATTTTCTGTCAGTTTTATTCAATTTCAAATGGTAGCAAAATGGAAACATTTAGAATTGTTAATAATTACAGTTCTGAATTCCTACTGGCCAATGAGGACTACCACCATCAGTCGTGTCAGATGTTAACTTTTCCTCAGTACAATTTAGTAGTCTCTGGCCAGCAGACTAGCATGAATTTCGAGGGCGAGTGAGGTGTATCGCCATGGCTACCTGTGGATGTTCAAAGTGACACCAATCACCACTCTATCTTGTCCTTTCACTGCACCGCATGACCACAGGATTATTGATTTCAAACAGTTTTATACACAACCTTGACAGCCTGCCACTACAATATACATTGTTGCTGGAAACATGCCAGTCATTTATATACTTCCTGTTAAAGCTCTGTACCAGGCCAATTTCTTGGCCAGCATATATTCAACACCAACAGAAAATAGGGTTGAAAATTAGGTTCATCATCATGATCATGTTCATTACTGTGAGATCGACCTTTGTGATGTCAGAAATAACAAAGTGGGTGATGCAACTAAGTTTTATCGAGCTGGCTGCGTTTTCAGAACAAACTAGCTCAATGTGATTACAAGATTGGGTAAATACAAATTAGGGAATGAAAATAGACAAAAAAGATGAATCTCATGTTTTTTCACATATAATTAAACATGTTAAATTTTCGTTCTGTTCTTTGAAATTCCTGCATTCTGATTAGCTGAATTGGTCACATGTTATTGCATTCATTTCCTAATGAATGTACAAAATTAAGCCACGCTCACCAAGGCGCACTACTTTTATTACTGCGGAGTGTCGGGGGATCCCAATATTACAGTCGAGGGAATTCCCTTTCTGCTCATGTGTATCGTCATGCACAGGACATTTAGCGACTTTCATGCATATTCATTGTCCAAACTACCCTTTAAACATGTTAAAACCGAAGGCCGAGAATAAATGAAACAGCAAACGTGCAGGCTCGCTCGCCTGTTTTTTTCCCCGCTCTCCTCAGTTCAACTTTCATGTCTTCAGGTTTCATTTCTAACTAGCATTTTTCCAACTGTGTTTTACCGTAATTACTAATCAGGGAAGTAATGTTTGAATCTGGCGGTAACTGACCATGTTATTTGAAACAGTCGCCTTCTCCTGGACATATTTCTTCCGGTTTGTTGCAGTCTGACTGTTGCAGTTGTTTTCGCCTCTTGCCTTAATTGACAGGTACAAATGAACATTGTTTTGATCCTGCTCTCCGTTGATTGGCTACTGACTGTGTATGTGTGTCAAGTTATGTGCATAAATCAAACGATCACCTGGTTTATCTCACGCCACAGAATGTATTCCTACACCTGGAATGTTTATCAAGCTTGTCATTTTAGTCTGTTTTGATATATCCAACTGTTTTTGGTTAAACTATTGTAGATAAAACATGTTTTACGTTGTCAAATTTAATTATAAGCATTGGCTGTGTATTTTTTCCGGTTCATTGAGGTATGAATCGAAAAACTGATATGCAAACTTTTGTAAGAATCCGGATTTATACAGTTTGCACATCAGTTTTTGGATTCATACCTCAATGAACTGGAAAAAAAATACACACTCAATCCTTAAATAACAATCTTTAACAATTTGTATCACAGTTTGAACACATGTTTAGCATGTTTAGTACAGTTGTCAGAGTTCATGACAATTCAGGGGGCACGGGTGGCCCAGTCGTCTAATGCGCCGCGATTCGCTGTGCAGAGTTGTGTCCCTTGGGCACGCCAGAATCCTATGATTGTGGGTTCGAATCCTGGTTCACCCCGATTATGTTTCTAGGTTTGTCAGCACCATACCCATGCTCGTGGGTTTCACTGAAGTGGTAAACGTCTGAGACCTGCATCACTTCAGTCTTTCCTCCCACATTAAGCTGACACGCCGCGATATAACTGGAATACTGTTAAAAGTGACGTTAAACCAAACTCACTCATGAAGCCTCACTCATGACAATTCAAGCAGGTTGGAGGCAGCACCAGCATACTGAAAGGCATCCATGTCAGCAGTCTGCAGTTTGTGTTTAAGTACATTCAGGCTTCTGTTAATGTTTGTGTATATCTTTTTCTTTGGTGGCAATTTTTGTCCATGGCATCAAGTGTTCCTGTTTACAGGTAATTATCAGTTTTTTTCCCCGGTAAGATTAGACTTGGACCGGTAATTCATGTGACTGCCAGTGCCTGTGGACCGGCAAATAAAGTACCTTATGAATCTTTGTTGTTGAATAAAACATCAGCGATATTCATATACGTGTGTTTGACGAACAAAGTCAGTGTGTCTGTTACCATCAGGGTTTCCCCTTGTCTATTTTTAGTGCAAGGAAAGAACATTTCACTTTGCTTCGAGGTTAAATATATATTTGTTACAACTTAGTCTCAATATATTATAACAAAAAGGAGAAAATTGTGACTGAACTATGTGTGAATGACTTTTAGATCTAACTAAGTTTTTTTGGAGATGTGTTTGTTTGTTTGTTTGTTGTTTAACGCCGCACTCAGCAATATTCCAGCTATATGATTGTGGTGGTCTGTAGATAATCAAGTCTGGACCAGACAATCCAGGCAGTGATTGACATCAGTAGCATCAATCCACGCAATTAGGATCGATGACATGCATCAACCAAGCCAGTGAGCCTGACCACCTGATCCTGTTAGTCGCATCTTACGACAAGCATAGTCGCCTTTTATGGCAAGCATTGGTTGCTAATGATCTATTCTACCCCGAATCTTCATGGGGCGCGTGGCTATGTGAGTGAACACATATCATATACTAGTAGTTGAAGTCACTGGTTGTTTGTGAGTGAGCTCAAACTCAAATAATGTAAGCTCTATTTCATGTTTAAATAATTCTTTCGGAACACAGTTGCACTTTTCAACTTGCCCAGTGTTTTAATCCCTTATAACACCTCACATTGCCCGCAGGCAACATAAAAATATCACAAAGGTCGCCACTGGTAAGAAACCGAAAATAAGACTTGTTGCCTGAGTTTATTGTCATTGGAACATTTAATTGTACATTTAACTCCACAGGGTTTTAAAGTTTTTTTGTTACCTCTGAGAAGAAGGGTTTCACACCAGTAAGGGATCTGATTTTAATGAGGATATTTTTTATTTTATTTGAAGTGTCCTGGACAATATTATGATTATGTTGATGAGAGATGTGACCTTCCTACAGAGTGAAGATTTCATGTGTTATGCATGTTCAAAATATAATCATGATAATAGACACGTGATGATCGGTAAAAATATGATAGACCCGTGATGATCGGTGGTAGAATAGGTCTTCAGCAACCCATGCTTGCAATAAAAGGTGACTGACTATACTTGTTTTAAGAGGCACTTACGGGATTGAATGGTCAGGCTCGCTGACTTGGTGGATGTATGACATCGTATCCCAATAGCGTGGATCAATGCTCATGACATTACTGGATTGTCTGGTCCAAACTCGATTATTTACAGACCACCATCATATAGCTGAAATATTGCTGAGTGCGGCATTAAACAACAAACAAACAAACAAGTCAAAATATAATGCAAGTAATATATTCTTTTGTGTTAACAGATACAATTTGTATACAATACGAGGTGGAAACGAAAACAAAACTTGCATCAAAATATTGCAAGCAATCATTTTGAAATCTAATAGGTTTACACTAGGACTGCAACGAATACACTATGACAGTATGAGGCGAATACAATACATGTCACGAGTATCGAATATCGGGTCATGCATATGAATATTTATTCACGAACAATGCGAGGAAATACTTTAATAACGTTTATAATGTTGAGGTATTCAGTTAAGCTGACACAGCTTGTTGTCCCCCGCCGCGCGGAAGCGCGAAGCGGGGGATATAGTACTCACCACCGTCCGTATGTCCGTCCGTCCGTACATCCCACCTGTTTGTTGCCGCGATATCTCAAGAACTAAACACTGGATTGTCTTCATATTTGGAACTATGGTGTATATACAGATTCCGCAGACACCAGTCGGTTTTGGTGACCTTGACCCCATTTTCAAGGTCACAGCAGGCAAATCTGCCTTTGGATTTAGAAAACGGTGTTGCCGCGATATCTCAAGAACTAATTGCTGGATTGTCTTAATATTTGGAACTATGGTGTATATACAGACACCGCAGACACCAGTCGGTTTTGGTGACCTTGACCCCATTTTCAAGGTTACAGCAGGCAAATCTGCTTTTGGAGTTGGAAAACGCTGTTGCCACAATATCTCAAAAACTAATCGCTGGATTGTCTTCATATTTGGTACTATGGTGTATATACAGGCGGGGGACATTTCGTCACTTTGTGACAAATACTTGTTCACTCATTAATTCCATTCCATGTTATGGTGTCATCTTTGTACATTAAGCCTCCGACCAGTGAAGAACAGGTCTTCAGCAACCCATGCTCATGATGTCAATCACTGGGTTGTCTGGCCCCGACTCAATTATTTACAGACCGCCATCATATATCTTGAATACTGCTGAGTGCGGCGTTTAACAACAAAGAAAATAAACAAACATTTGATTATGAAAAGCATGCCTTCAGTTTTTAGCTTGATTTTGAACACTGTATATGATGTTTTGGATCAGTAACTGTGACCTACCCTGCTGATAATTGCCTCATTTTGTTTTAGACTCGGATGCAGAGTATCGTGCCTGACCCCAATGCCAACTATCGCAGCCTGGCTGATGGCTTCGTGAAGATCTTGCGCTACGAGGGCATCAAGAACACTATGCGGGGGATCAGTGCCATGGTGGTCGGGGCTGGACCTGCACATGCTATGTACTTCGCCTGCTACGAGAAGATCAAGTCAGAGCTCAGTAATGGGAAGCAGGGCAACCACTTGGCAAATGGTGGGTTAACTTCAACATTGATTGGAGAGACTTGTCTTGGTTAAATTCCAACACAGCTTTGAGGGTTGGGCTGAACTTTAACACCGCTGAAAGAGGGGGGTGGACTAGTGACACATGGAGGGTTAACTTTAACAAAGCATGAAAGGGTGGGGTGTACTAGTGACACATGGAGGGTTAACTTTAAAAAAGCATGGACGGGTTGGGTGGACTAGTGACACATGGAGGGTTAACTTTAACAAAGCATGAACGGGTTGGGTGGTCTATTGACACATGGAGGGTTAACTTTAACAAAGCATGGGGGTTGGGTGGACTAGTGACACATGAAGGGTTAACTTGAACAAAGCATGAACGGGTTTGGTGGTCTATTGACACATGGAGGGTTAACTTTAACAAAGCATGGATGGGTTGGTTAGTCTATTGACACATGGAGGGTTAACTTTAACAAAACATGGACAGTTTGGTCGGTCTATTGACACATGGAGGGTTAACTTTAACAAAACATGGAAGGGTGGGGTGGTCTATTGACACATGGAAGGTTAACTTTAACAAAGCATGAAACAGTGGATGGTCTAACACACTTGGAGGGTTAACTTAAACACTGCTGGAAAGGTGTGAGGCTACTGACACATGGAGGGTTAATTTGATTGTGTTGGTAGGGGGGGCTGATCAGTCTCTGGTAATGTTTAACTTCTACACCATCACTACTGTAGCATGTAGATAGCTGGAATAAGAATGATTTTCAGAATTTATGGGGAGGTGTTCGACTAGTCTTTGGACAATACAATCTATCTACCTAGAGAGCATTTTATACAATCTAACCAAATCTGTGAAAATATATTAATGAAGCCTATTTGATAGTTGCTGCAGTGATGGATTCAATGTTTCAAAGGCTTTATTGAAATACATGGTTATCTGTTGATGTGTCCTGTGTTTGGAAAAACCAAAGCAGATTCATATACAAGTTTATCATACAGTCTGATAATACATGAATCAGGTAATATAGCAATTACATGTATAACACAGTTTATCACCAGCTGTGGTGCTCGGAATATAATAATGTCATTGTCCAGCTTTGTATGGGGGCCAGTAGAACAATGTTTGATAGTGTTTCACTCTATAGCTCACCTGCGTGGGATAAGTATTGATATCCTTCCATTAGTGTGTGGTATTGACTGGTATTATCCTGTGGCATGGCACCAGGTGGTGTGGAGGTTGCACAACACCAGGATCAATAACACCATTGTTTCCCTCAGATGGCTTCTTATAATTGATAGTGTCAGATGTAAAAAATATTCTTGGCAAAGGCATCTTGTAATTATCCCCCGCCCAACAAAGTTGGCGGGGGATATAAAAACGGGCTCCGTCCGTCCGTCCGTCCGTCACGTTTCGTTTCCGGAGCATAACTCATAAACCGTTCAATATTTTTTCATCAAACTTTGCAGGTCAGTCAGGTACATGCTGAACTGGTGCCTTTTGCCTTTTAAGAAATTTTAGAATTTTTTATTTTTTACGTTTCCATGGCAACAAGATGGACTTAGGTTCTGCGAGGGTAGTGTTCGTTTCCGGAGCATAACTCATAAACGGTTCAATATTTTTTCATCAAACTTTGCAGGTTTGTCAGGTACATGCTGAACTTGTGCCTTTTGCTAGTTAGAAATGTTAGAAATTTTTATTTTTTTACGTTTCCGTGGCAGCAAGATGGACTTAGGTTCCAAACTCTTCTTTTTTTTACAATTTCCATGACAAGTTCCACCTCGGTTAAAAAAGGTTAGGGTTTGTTTAGATTTAATTATGTCATAAATTCTGCAACAGGGGCAGGGGATATAGCCACGTTAGTGGCAAACTCTTTTTTCAAACTATACTGAAATCCATTAGAAACGCATCACAAATATAAATCTTTGTATCTCCCTGATAAATGAAGAAATGAACTAGTCCCTACTGACATTTAAATTGTTAATCAAGATGGAAACACAAGAAAAAGCCAAAGCAATCATTCAGTGCAGCTGTATATAAACAATAATGATGGGCGTCAAATTGAAATTTCATACATGCTCAAAACGAGTATGGCCACCATTTTGCATAGAGCACAATCACTCTTCTTTGTCTCATTGACAAGATGACCCTCCTCATGAAAGCTTGCGGTATCTCACGCCGTATTAGTTGCAAAGCGAGTTCCTACTCATAGACGTTATTCAGTTGTGCCCGTTTGTCATAGGAGCTACGATAACCTGACAAATGTTGAATTGTGACAATTAAACCCTCTGGCCACTTGACATGTTTAAAGTCCAGCCTCGAGAAACCCAACGGCTTTTTCTCTCTCGACAGCTGATAAACGTGGCATCAATTAAGCGCTGTTTGAAATTAAGGTGTGATTTGGGTATGCAGTTGAATGATCTCTCAGTGTGTTGTGGAACCACAGTGTTTTATGCATTTTCACATGATTTGCACGAGAAAGCGTGATTTTCAGCAAATGATGGGTTCCTTTTACTGGAGTTAAAACGGGTAATGAGTTTTTGACGTGCTGCACAATTTCAAGGATTGGGCTGTGCCCACTCTGCATAGTGGTTTATTGAGGGTCTTCCTTCTTGTCCAGGTTATAGGGGGAGGCATAAAAAATGTACCTGAACATATATTTTATAGTAAGATAATAGACAAAAATACATAAGAAAATAGTCTTGAGAGAAATTAGTGTGTTGTGTTTTGATTTTGTGTATGTTGTGTTGCAGGAGCTGCAGGCTGTGTTGCCACAGTGTTGCATGATGCTGTCATGAATCCTGCTGAAGGTTAGTGTTGTATGTATGATGTTATGTAATAAATCCTGCTGAAGGTTAGTGTTGTATATGTGATGTTATGTAATAAATCCTGCTGAAGGTTAGTGTTGTATATTTAGTTATATCATGAATCCTGCTGAAGGTTAGTGTTGTATATATAGTTATGTAATGAATCCTGCTGAAGGTTTGTGTTGTATGTATAGTTATATCATGAATCCTGCTGAAGGTTAGTGTTGTATATGTGATGTTATGTAATGAATCCTGCTGAAGGTTTGTGTTGTATATATAGTTATGTAATTAATCCTGCTGAAGGTTAGTGTTGTATATATAGTTATGTCATAAATCCTGCTGAAGGTTAGTGTTGTATATATAGTTATATCATGAATCCTGCTTGAAGGGTAGTGTTGTATATATAGTTATGTAATGAATCCTGCTGAAGGTTAGTGTTGTATATATAGTTATGTCATGAATCCTGCTGAAGGTTAGTGTTGTATATATAGTTACATCATGAATCCTGCTGAAGGTTAGTGTTTTACATATAGTTATGTCTTGAATCCTGCTGAAGGTTAGTGTTGTATATATAGTTATAACAGGAATCCTGCTTGAAGGTTTGTGTTGTATATATAGTTATATCATGAATCCTGTTGAAGGTTAGTGTTGTATATATAGTTATATCATGAATCCTGCTTGAAGGTTTGTGTTGTATATTTAGTTATGTCATGAATCCTGCTGAAGGTTAGTGTTGTATATATAGTTACATCATGAATCCTGCTGAAGGTTAGTGTTTTACATATAGTTATGTCTTGAATCCTGCTGAAGGTTAGTGTTGTATATATAGTTATATCAGGAATCCTGCTTGAAGGTTTGTGTTGTATATATAGTTATATCATGAATCCTGCTGAAGGTTAGTGTTGTATATATAGTTATATCATGAATCCTGCTTGAAGGTTTGTGTTGTATATTTAGTTATGTAATGAATCCTGTTGAAGGTTAGTGTTGTACATATAGTTATGTCTTGAATCTTGTTGAAGGTAAGGGTTTTATGTATAGTTATATCATGAATCCTGCTGAAGGTTAGTGTTTTACATATAGTTATGTCTTGAATCCTGCTGAAGGTTAGTGTTGTATATATAGTTATATCAGGAATCCTGCTTGAAGGTTTGTGTTGTATATATAGTTATATCATGAATCCTGCTGAAGGTTAGTGTTGTATATATAGTTATATCATGAATCCTGCTTGAAGGTTTGTGTTGTATATTTAGTTATGTAATGAATCCTGTTGAAGGTTAGTGTTGTACATATAGTTATGTCTTGAATCTTGTTGAAGGTAAGGGTTTTATGTATAGTTATATCATGAATCCTGCTGAAGGTTAGTGTTGTATATATGATGTTATGTAATGAATCCTGTGGAAGGTTAGCGTTGTACATACATGATGTTGTGTCATGAATCCTGCTGAAGATTCAGTTTTGTTGTTTACCTTTCAGTTAGTATTACACAACTATAGTCATGATAATATGACTGCAGTTTTCATCCTGTTAACAAATTCATTTGACAGATTTTATGCTGATCATGCATTTCCTAGCAGCACACATTGAAATGAATAATAGTAAGTGTCTTGTCGTCCGGAGTTTATTTTATCATGGGACTAACAGTGTTTTCTCTTCCATGTGCTGTTGCAGTGGTCAAGCAGAGAATGCAGGTGTATGGAAGCCCATACAGGACATGTTTTGACTGTGCAAAGACTGTAGCTCAAGAGGAGGGTTTTCGAGCCTTCTATCGAAGCTTCACAACACAATTGACTATGAATATTCCTTTCCAGTGCTTGCACTTCATGACTTACGAGTTTATGCAAGACTGCCTGAACCAACAGAGACACTATGATCCCAGGAGTCATGTTATATCAGGTGCTTTAGCAGGTGCTGTTGCTGCTGCTGCCACGATGCCGTTAGACGTTTGCAAAACCCTGCTCAACACGCAGGAGCAGTGCGCTCGGACTAAGATCTCATATGTGAATGGCATGGCAGCAGCTTTTAGGACGGTTTACGAGTTTCAAGGTATCACTGGTTACTTTCGAGGCATTCAACCGAGAGTGATCTACCAGATGCCCTCGACAGCAATATCATGGTCGGTGTACGAGTTCTTCAAGTTCACGATTTCAAAGAAGCAGAGAGAAGACAGTCGCTACCTCACGTCGCCTGTCAAGTCGATGCCGGTGCATGCTGCTACTGCCGCTTCCTCCAGATGACATGTGACCTTCTAAAGGTATTGTCATTGGTCAGTTCAGTCTGATCGATGACAGGAGATCGCAGTGGGAATGGTCAGGAAGGTTCTGATCGCTTACAGGGATAGGTTTAAGGATATGAGAAACCAATTTGATTTGGAATATCTGACACCCAGTGTACAGTATCATTTGTTAGTGGTAACATAATGTAAGGAAATGAAAATGTGAGACAGGGAAAAGAATTATGTTCTTCACACAGTTTCACTAAATATCTTTATGTTTCCATTATATAATGGCGGTAGACATATAATTTGAGAGCTATTGATTTGATTCTGCAAGTAGTTATGTTAAGGCATATACATAGTGTGTGAAATAGCTTCCTTACGAGTTAAATGTTGTTATTTTTTCATTCTTTCCAGACTAAGCTTAATATAATGTATTTATTCCATGCACTTGGTCCAGACTCTTTGTTATATCTTGCAATTTCTACAGGTGAAAAAATAGAATTAATAATCAGATTATATGTCTGGATATGTTGCCATGGGAACCGTGCCATCGGGCATGTGATGCAGTTACACATTGTATAAATTTCAAACATGTTAAGTACTGAGTTGCAGAGAGAGAGTTGCCTTACGTGTATGAACTATCTTCGTAAAGACAGTTTGAGAGAAAGTAAGTTTTTTTCATCATTGATCACTGATCATTTTATGTGCAGGGAAAAAAAGTTCTTTTCAAATTATATTTTTTCTCCACTTATGATAAATTTTTTAATGAATCAATCATATTTTTACAAAAATATCAACTTCTTTGAGTACGTTTTATCTATAGTCACATTTTTTTTGTGTGGACCATGGTAGTTTTTTAAGCTGCAGGTCTGTGAACTGGTTTTTCATTGAAGCTATTCCACACAATGTACATGACGATCTGTGGCTGCAGTCACGGCATTATGATCATTTTGTAAGCATTCAATAATGCTAAATATCAGTGAAGTCTGACTTGTAGGTAAATTTGTATAAGTAGTCTATGACTTCATTTGAAGAAACATCTTGTATTTTAATCAAATGTCAATAAGGTTACTGCAATAGTTTTCAGTGTGAGGTCTTAGTCAAGGGGAGATAATTCAACATAGGTACAACAGAGTTACCTCCCTTACTGATAGTGATACAGGTACCAAGGCATAATCAACAGTTAAAAAATTCTTCAGCAACCTGTCATTTAATACTTTGGGAGGCGGGAATCGGGGGTGGGTCATCAGAAAACATGTCCCAGGGGTCATTAAAATTGTAATTGTTTTTAGGGGGTCATGACTTTAGTAGTATATACTACATTAAAGGAGGGTCATGAGAAAGGAACAAACATTTGGGGACGTTATTTCGTAAACCCCTCACCCCTGCACCCCCTTGTAGTAAATGAGCAGTTTTTTATTGGTTAAATGTATGACCATCACATTTATTCCACGCCTGTCATGTATTGCCAACTCTGCATGACGTATCAGTTATCTCCCTTTATCATTAGAGGTGGTGGTTCTCTCCATATATTCAAGAAACTTGTCATGTGTCAGAATACTGAAACGGAAACAATCTTTGGATGATTTTTACTTTTCCAAAGTAAGAGGAAAAACTTTAAAAAATTGTTATTGTGATGAAACAATAAATATACCCTATTTTATTTATGCAACCCTACTAGAGCATTGAGTGTTTAGATTGGTTTTTTTTCAATTTTGCTGATGGATCAGAAATATTCCTCTTTGCTATTGAAGATACTTCTTGACAAAGAGGCTATTTCATATTGCCCGCAGTTGGTAAAATGTTGTGTTTGAAACTGATTAATGGGTGTGTGGGGTTTTGAGGTTTTGTAGCATGCTCTACTAGGGGTGTATGAGATAAAATATCAATCAAACAGATTGTAAAAAACATTTTGGACTTTTGGACGTTTGGACACTTGACCTATTAGATTTCCTATGTCACTCATTTCATCACATATAGCCAATACTGGAGTGTGACTTTCACATTATTGCTTTTCCTTGTTAGCAGGACACTTACGTTTTGCTGGGGCGGTCGGGTAGCCTAGTGGTTAAAGCGTTCGCTCGTCACGCCGAAGACCCGGGTTCGAATCCCGACATGGGTACAATGTGTGAAGCCCATTTCTGGTGTCTCCCGCCGTGATATTGCTGGAATATTGCTAAAAGCGGCGTAAAACCAAACTCACTCACTCACTCACTTACGTTTGCTGGCCTTCATCTCAGTTGTAAGGTCTATTTTATCATTGGGATATATAGCATCCATTTTACTTGTAGCCGAGGCAATATTGATTTAGACAGTGCAACCTTTCTCAAGGATGGTATGGCATAGGGCATGAACTAACTTTGACATTTTATACACCAAAGCGTAGAAATAAGGGTTAGAAATAATTATTGTCTTCAAGAGGTTTTGACATAATAAAGAAAATTAACATCCCAAGCATATTTAGGAACACTGGCAACAAAAGGTCCAAAAATATAGGATTATTAAATTATTTCACTCACCACCATCTATGCCATGTGTGCTGTCGGTCAATATTTTGCAACACATATTAATGATATTTTCAGGGGTGTTGGGGTAGCCTCATAGTTAAAGCATTTGCTCGTCCTGCCAAAGGCAGGAATTTGAGTCTCCACATAGGTTCAATGTATAGAGGGGGTGGTCGGGTAGCCTAGTGGTTAAAACGTTCGCTCGTCACACTGAAGACCAGGTTTCGATTCCCGACATGGGTACAATCTGTGAAGCCCATTTCTGGTGTCCCCCGCCGTGATATTGCTGGAATATTGCTAAAAGCGGCGTAAAACCATATTCACTCACTCACTCAATGTATAGAGCCCATTTCTTTCCTCTCCTGCTGCGTTCACGGGAATACTTCTGAAAGAGGCGTGAAACCCAATTCAGTCATCATCATGCTGTGATCTTTTTAGTGAAATAAAGTCTAGTGACAAACAACATGGGAAACAACAATAGAAGTATTAATTCCGCAGCTTATCTCCTTTACAAATTGTTTGATAGGCATTGCTTAGAAGTTGACGGATGACAAAGTAGACACAATTTATGGATAACAACTTCGTTAATTACTGTAAAGGCAATGTTTCAGTATAGATCCTTATACCATTGTCAAGCAATACTGAAGGAGAAGGATCTAAACTGAAACGTCGCCTTGGTAATTTGAGAAGTTGTTATGCATAGATTGTGTCTACTTTGTATCTATTTTACGGTTCATGTTACTTGGAATTGTGGCACAAAGTCATGCATTGACCCGAAACTTGAATGAATTGTTTCACAACCATTTTGCTGTTAGTGTTTAGCAGGGTCTTCCCTATGGCAGGTTAAGTCTACTGTGAAACACACACACCAGTTTATCATATCATGGTTCAAGGTTGAACTTTAGTTTTTTAGAAAGTGGGTGAGCACCAAATGTGTATGGCTTGCAGATGATACAGACATACCTCCACAACTTCTGAACATCAATGACTGTGTGACCCTGTTATATTGAACACATGGAAATGAGGGGTGTCTGTATTTTCTAGATAATTAATGGATTTTTGTGACCATTTTTTTTTTGCATAAGGGTGTTTACAGAGTTCAATTTATTTCTTTTGAAGGGAAATGTTATATTTCTACCAGGTAGTTCATAACTGTCAATTTACATCCAGCATACATATTTTGTCTTAAGGTAGCTGGTAGACATCAGGGTGCAGTTGTACACAGCGATCTTAGTGCTAAGGTGATCGTAACTCACATCCCTTAACACAGAGTGGTGCTAAGGTTGTTTTGTACGACGACACCCAGGACATCATTGATGCAAGGATCAGCATGAAATTTATGCTGGCCAACTAGATAAATGTTTGTCCAATTTTGTTTCTACTGGCACAAATGCAAGTTCAATAGATAGAGGCCATGAAAAGTACCTTTTAAAATTATTGGTTGAATTGAGGGCTGAAAGACACTAGTTGACATGACAACTGTTGGCCTTAAACAAATACTAGTTCCATATCTTTTGGATAATTATTATTTTTGGGTTGTGATGTAGAATTTCTTATATAATGTTCAGTATGGAATAAACGTTAGTATGTGTACCATAAATAAATTCAAAATTTACTAATATGCTGTGGAATAAATGTCAGTATGTGTACCATAAATAAAATCAAAATTTACTAATATGCTGTGAATGACGATCAATCACTGACTTAATATGTAACTACCTGGTTCAAGTATCATGATGTTCTGCTTTTCTTGAGAGATTTCAAATGTTTGAGTTTATTGTTATCCTCGTAATTGTTTGGGATGTGGAAAACATTTCTGTTTAATTGAAAGTATTGATAACTGAAAATAGAATTATTTCAAAATTCTCTTTTTGTATTTATTTACATTCTTTCCCTCTCTTCATTTGATATCAATGTGATGAAATTGTAGATATGCTGTACAGTGTTTTTTGCCAAGAAATGTGTTGATGTTGAACAACATCCCCCTTGCCTTCAATTGTGTTTCTGGATGTGACTATTTGGACGTTATAATTCAATATTTTGTAACGCTTCTCTTTATAAGACTCACGGGATGACAAAGACTATCCGTTTGATATTATTTTCTTGTTATGATGGAAGTTTTACAACGTTATAAGATGCTCTGAAACTACCTTTGAGCAGTATGTTGAGGGAAATGTTATTCAATTGCAGTAATTAATGCTGTGTGGACACATTCTTGGCAGAACACTACAACTGCTTTTGTGTACAAATAGTAATGTTTTCCAAACCCCTATTCATAGCTTTTATCCTATTATTGCATGGCCTTTATCATATTGTCTAATTACGGTGTATTTTAAGTCATTCCAGAGCTGAACAACTAGTCAATGGGGACTATCCTATACACACAGCTTCACCTTAATTTGCCACAGTGTGGCCGGCAATTGTCCAATCATTGCCTCTGATTCTAATCATGTGACCTGCATCTGGCCAATACTAGACATGGATTCAATATCGTCAACCTCGTCGTCCATCCAAGCCATCGATTGCGTGCGAGCCGACATATATGATCCACAGCTGATCAAGGAGTGCTTGTGGCTTGTGGCTGAATCTCTCTGAAATATTCCACAGAGTTTACACAACTGATAATATTCCAGCCAACATCATCAACCATTGACAATGTTGCTGTCCGAGAGTAAATGCCAAGGAAACATCAGGTCATGTGACTGTTGCCTAGGAAACATGTCATATGACCGTGTTACTAAGGAAACATGAAGTCATGTGACTGTTGCTATACATTTCCTGCTGCCTGGGTGTCAGAAGAGAGACTTTTACACGCAAGCAGTGCAATAATATTTTAGTGCTTTATTCCTTAACTAGATCTGGCTTTCCCTTTTGTTGGAAGAAGAACTTCACATAATGGGGGATTTTAATGACATATTCTTCACATGGGCATTTTGCTGAAGGAAGAACTTTTACAATGTGTCCACTGTTTTTTTTACTGCAGTATCCAGTGAGACGATGGTGCTGGATTCATGTCCCTGACTATTCGTTAAGTGTTGAATGACTTGTGTGAGTGCGGTGAATGTGATTGTGGAAAGAAGAACTTTCCCAGTGCAAACCAGTGGAAGAAGTCCAAAATGGCTGCCATTTGTAGAAAGCAGACTTTCTCAGTGTCGACCAAGGACGGGGGATATAGTACACCTGACCTTGGCCTACTAGACGGAACATTACCAATGTGATGAGGAACATGACTGCATATGTGGAAAGATGAACTTTCTCAGTGTTGTCAGTATTTATTTTACACAAATCATGTTGACTGCACATGTGGAAAGACGAACTTTCTCAGTGTTGGTTGATCTGAAGAAACTCCAAAGATTGTGATGTAAACACATTGTTTATCTTTATGAGTCAAAATTTATTGTTAATAATTTGAAGAAGTTAAAATAATATCAAAGCTTGTTGCAGAATCAGATCTATTTGATTGTTACCAATTCTGAGGTGCGAGATGACTCACTGTAGATATTGCTAGAAATGGATGCTCTTAGTGAAACATTGTAGGTCATTTTTTAAAGGAAAAGAGGTCTGGGTAAATGAAGGTTATTTGTGGTAAAAAACTATATACTCAACAACAAATGTTACATATCAATTAAGTGAAAACTGAAGATGCATGACATATATATTGTATGATCACTATGGTGATATTGACTAAATGTCTTGACAAATTTATCAATTTTCTATCAATTTTATCTTCAGAACTGACCATTTGCCAAGACTGATTCCGTTTTGATTAGTATGAGGATGAAATACAATTGTTACATTTCAGGTTAGTTTTATGCTTCAGCCTCCATTACATCTATAATGGGATACTATGTATATATCATGATATATCCAGATATTACACAATAACCAAACACAAATTTCCAGGCAACATTTCAATTTTGAATTTGTATAAGTTCAAATTTAAGAAGATATACAAATCTTTAGAATGCCCTAGGGTTTCATTTCAGCCCAGATAAACAAAAGCACATTTGTAATCTTCAAAATAAACTACTTGTCATTTAATATGCTGGAAACAAGCACAATATGATGAATAAGAACACAATCAAAATTCGTTTTCACCCCTCCCCTCTTCCGTTTGAAGGGGGCACGGGTGGCCCAGTCGTCTAAGGCGCCGTGATTCGCTGTGCAGAGTTGCGTACCTTGGGCGTGCCAGAAACCTATGATTGTGGGTTCGAATCCCGGTTCGCCCCGATTATGTTTCTAGGTTTGTTAGCACCATACATATGCTCGTGGGTTTCACCGAAGTGGTTAACGTCTGAGATTGTGATTTTTAAATGGAATTTAGTTGTTTCTGTATTGGGCATGTTACAAAAAAATAATGAAAAATATTGCTTGTATATCACGTATACATGATCACGTGATCACTTTTAATTAAGATTTGAGTTTCTAACCTTTTTATAGCTGACATGCTTCGTGACTGTTTAGTGAAAATGGTATTTCACTTTATTCATGCTGAGCATTTGAATTTATCGTTTTTGTTTTCAGTAGTGCAAGGGGGCGATGGGTGAGCCTCGTAGTTAAAGCGTTCGCGTGGTCACGCGGAAGACCTGGGTTTGATTCCCCTCATATGTACAATGTGTGAAGCCCATTTCTGGTGTTCCCCGCCACCATGATGTTGCTGGGATATTGCTAAAAGTGGCGTAAAACCATGCTTACTCACTCTCTCAGTAGTGCATTGCTGTTATTGACTTTTGAATGCAGATTTGACTTTTGGAGATTCTCATCTGAAAGTCATCTCCTCTCAAATATATCAAGAAATGTACATGTGTAAACGTTACAACATCTGGGGCTAGCTGAGGATCGTTTTGCTTCCATCAATGAGTTTTGATATTTTTGAGTTTGCTGTGACACCAGGGTGTGATTCCATTTATCATCCAAAATCTTTCTGCAAAATTGTTAAGTTGGTAAACAGTAATAGCCCACGTTTGTGTGTGTGTGTAAGACATACAGTGAACAAGCTTAAAAAATGGCAGATATTGATGTCTTTTAAATTGTGACGCCATGGCAATGAGGCTCTATTTACAGATAGTAATAAACTCAGGACCTGGAGTAAATACATCACAACGACATTCTACACATTCCAGCTGTACAACAGTTTGATAAAACTATCATGCAAACGATACCATTTATTTGTGTAAATATAGTACCACTGTGTCTTACACAAAGCTAAAAGCAAACCCTCTGTGAAATGGCTGCTTGATGCCCCGCCCCCTTTATCTGGTTCACAAGAATGATTCAGCTTGATGTCAAGTCCAGGAAAGATTGCAATACCCGACAGGAAGAGACAAGAGGAACCTGAAATGCAGTAGCTCTCAGTGAAATCGCCCCAGTGATTGTAACAGTATTCTTAAGAAATATCAAACTGAAACATTATCTATGACAACATTATTATTGTACTGTGCAGTTTCTATGACATGATTATTATTATACTGTGTCTTATACCCCGTTGACATGCACACCATTTACTAACGTAAGTAATTTTGCACATGTGTAACTATACATATGTGTATATGTAAATTTAGTATGCGTTCACATGAAAATCAACTTAGCTGTTTAAATAAAGTATTAAATTGTGTAAGCACACATATTCGTCAGTCTGTTTACGGCTTTCAACACAAAACAGGTTGTTTCCAATCAAAGTTGAATGAGAAGACAGTTACTTCACTGAAAATGTTCGCGTGAAGCAACACGTTTGATTTAATTTGTACACAAATTTTTGACTCATTGAAACCAAAACTCTGTATATACGCATAAAAGTTGACAATTTGTTTGGTGTTAGCAAAAGAACAGGTATTTATTAGATCTTCCTCTTACCTTAACATAAACGTTCACATTGCAACAAATGCAAACAGAGCAAATTTACATTTACATTTGCACCTGCTCCAGACATGATGCCAATTTGCTCCTAGTGTAAATATACACACATGAGTAAACGCGTTCACATGACAAGTATACTCACGTATGTACTTCTACACAAGTATGCACAAATACACACATATGTATAGAGGCGCATGTGAACGGGGTATTAGAGATTTATTATTATTGCAGTCTTTCAGCAGCATTTGTGTTTATGGTTTATCTCGCACCTCAGAACCTTGTTGTACGCTGAATCATCACATAAGCCAATACCATACACTCTGTGTTCTGTTGTTTATTTGCCGTGGGATGAGTGACGGGGTTGGGTGGGTTTTGCATGGCTTTAGAGTACATCTGTGCGACGCTAGGCAACAATTCTGACTTTTCTAATGCAAATTGCGTGACAGGCGTTACCGGTAGAGCAAGTCACGCTTACCCTTTTTGCGAACACATGGCGTCATCTAGGATTTTCAGTTAACCATTCATATAATTTAAAACATTACTACTTTTTACGGCCATGTGATCTGGCATTGGTGTTTTATATTTGTGACACTATGTTTTACATAAGATGTGCATCGGCCCGTGAAGATCCGGGGTAGAATAGGTCTTCAGGAACCCATGCTTGCCGTAAAAGGCGACTAACGGGATTGGGTGGTCAGGCTCGCTGACTTGGTTGATGTATGTCATCGATCCCAATTGCGTGGATCGATGCTCATGTTATCAATCACTGGATTGTCTGGTCCAGACTCGATTATTTACAGACCGCCGTCATATAGCTGGAATATTGCTGAGTGCGGCGTTAAACAACAAACAAAACAAAACAAAATAAGATGTGCATCAAACATTAGTAGTTGTCGGGCGGATCCAGGATTTAAAAAAAGGGAGTTGGGAGTGGTTCCACTTTGACCACTTGTACCAAAAATCACAAACAAGATATAGATAGTGTTGTATATGTATTATTAATTAGTCCTTTAAGAATACATGTTCAACATAATCTGGAGTATTATTACCAGTGAACCCGTGAAAATCCGGGTTAGAATAGATCTTCAGCAATCCATGCTTGTCGTAAAAGGCTACTTACGAGATCGGATGGTAAGGCTCGCTGACTTGGTTGATGCATGTCATCGTATCCCAATTGCGTGGATCAATGCTCATGATATCAGTCACTAGCTTGTCTGGTATAGACCGTCATATAGCTGGACATATTGCTGAGTGCGCCGTTAACAACAAACAAAACGTATATTTTCTACAATACATATGGTGTCACATTCTTTAACAAGTTGATTCTTTCGGAATACATTAGTACAATAAACTTAAAAATGTTTGGTGTCTGGAACTTATATGCCGACAAATATTCAATTCGCAAATGATCATATACTGGACATGCAAAGAAAAGATGGTACCCATCTTCTTCCTGTTTATGTTCTTTTGATATTGAAGTGTATACGATGGGCATCTTTTTCCATCATATTCCATTTTTTTGCAAAAGAGGTTTCAAAGGATATTCTTCAGTTTTAAATTCAGTTTTAAATTCAGTTTAAGCTTTACATACTTTTTACACTTTTGTGATAATAATAGTGCCAAGTTCCATTTTGATGTATATACATCCTTTTGTCTTGGAGTGACTCTACCTTCTCTAGGGTATTCTACCTTCTCTAGGGTATTCCACCTTCTCTAGGGTATTCTACCTTCTCTAGGGTATTCTACCTTCTCTAGGGTATTCCACCTTCTCTAGGGTATTCTACCTTCTCTAGGGTATTCTACCTTCTGCAATACACAGGTAGGACCAAGTTCATTAATAGTTTTAAGGTATGAGACCCAATTTACGCTTCCAGAACTAACATACGGTAACATTCCATAAAATTGTCTTGGGTATCTTTAAGAAGGCATATTTAATTATTGTATCCAATACTTTATAATTGTAACCCGTGCATATATCCGTGATGAAAGTCTACCACATTCACAACTGCATTTTTAGGTCTTCAGCAACCCATGCTTGCCGTAAATGGCGACTATGCTTGTCGTGAGAGGCGACTAACGGGATCGGATGGTCAGGCTCGCTCGCTTGGTTGATGCATGTCATCGTGTCCCAATTGCGTGCGTCGATGCTCATGATGTCTGGTCTGGTCCTGTCTCGATTATGTATAGACAGCTGTTATATAGCTGGAATATTGCTGAGTGCAGCGTTAAACAAACCACCAAGCAACATTATCTGCTAATAGCAGTGAAACGACTCGTACAGTACCGGGTTGTAATTGTGTACCATCTTAACGTTAATCTTCTATTTCCATGGCTAATTCGTTAATAAAGTAAGAGAAGAGGAAAGGAGAGGGCTTGATATGCATCTTTGTCATTCTTCTATATTGCATTCAAATTTATTACTGAAATTACCGTTGCGCCGTACCAAAGCTTTGACGTCTTCATAGATACATGACAATAATTTTGACAATTTATCACTAAAGCCACGATTCTGAAATGTGAACCACAATTTATGCCGCTATACAGAACCGAATGCCTTACTAAAGTCTACAAATAATGTGTACAGTTTAACGAATGAAACACGAAAATAGTATCTATTGTAGTGAATCCTCTGGAGCCTCGAAAGGTATTTGTAGCATTAGCTGACCCTTGCGTATGAAGCGAGATAATTACGCCACGTGACCAAATCTGAGCAAATGTTGAATTAAAATAAAATTAAACAATATTTCTAAATATATTTTTTTGGTATTAAGTCCAGTTGACCTATAATTCTTTAAACTTGCAATGTTTTCCACGACGTCTTCCCTTGAAATGGGAGTGTCTTTCAAAGTGCCCACCCCCCTCCCCCCATCTGGATCCGCCACTGGTTGCAGTAGAATTTCCAATAAGCTTGGACCACTGAAAGGTCTGGACACTGGTTTGGTTTAAGCCGGTACTATATAATATACTTCTTCAAAGAAGTTAACATGAAGGCAGCAGGTGTTTTTAACTTCCTTTGAGTGCTATACATCGTATGCCCTACACATCTGTAGAATAGTAAGTGGGCCAAGCTGATATACTGGCACGACTAAGGGGCTAAACTCTGCACAATGGGTTGAAGCAAATTATTCTGTTCTTCATATAATGTGGAATTTGTATGCCATCAATGAATTAAGACATCTTTAGGATTTTGATATTTTAATGGTAATATTTTTAATTTTATTTTTGGTATCCTGTTATTGGTGACAGCGGTGCTGTCATTCCTGCTATATTTCGGACTACTCATTTTGGTCACAAGGCAGATTTCATCTCTTGTGGTGTACAGGTAGACTTTGTTAAGCACAAACCTGTATGAATTAACTTACTGATGCATGATCCATGAAGTCAGTTTTAGAGGTAACACATTTTCTACACATCGTAGGGAGTAAGCCAACATATTCCAATCGCGTACAGCAGATGTTAGAAACGATTTGTTATGCTGTAATCTCCATAATCAAATATTGTTAAAACTACTGAGTTATATAAAGCTTGGAGGATATGCCTTTGAAGACGTTATTTCAAGCTTCTTAAACAGTTGATGATTGGACCAACTTTGGCAACAAAACTGTTGATATGCCTCCGCCACTGACCATCTGCAAAGTCAGTCCAAGATGTTTGTGAGAAATAACAGATTCAATCTTGATATTGTTCATGGATCTGGCATTGTACTTGCTGTTCTCTTCTCAGAAAATAAATTGATTCCGTCTTAGTAGGATTAAAATAAACTCTCCAAGTTTTTTCCCCATTTTGCTATCAATTCTAAATCTGTATTAAAAGATATTGTGGATGAATCGGGGTCATCAATAAGTACATAAAGATATGTAGTGAGTGAGTATGGTTTTACGCCGCTTTTAGCAATGTTCCAGCAATATCACGGCGGGGGACACCAGAAATGGGCTTCACACACATAAAGAGATGTATCATCAGCAAATAATTTGATAATGCACAAAATATTTTTCACTATACCAACAATGATGATGGAACCCTGGGGCACTCCTGCGTTTACTGGTTGTATAAAAGATTTAAAGCTATTTATTAGTCAATTGTTTTCCATTCTTTAAATAACTTTCAAACATGTTTCCCACTATGAAGCAGTTTATATATAAAAGACCATTTTGCCAAACTCGATCGAATGCTTAACTTTTGTCATAAAATACAGCTCTGACTTCTTTACCATCGTCCATTGCCTTAGCTGTAAAATAATATAAATGGGTCAGTTCATACACAGTAGAATCACCAGTTATAAATCCCGATTACAATGAAGTAACTATTCCATTATCTAAGAAACAAATTGACACACATTTCTCAAACTATTGAAACACTGGTAAGAGAGACCGACTACTATCACTGGATTGATCCAGACTCGATTATTTACAGACCGCCGTCATATAGCTGGATTATCGCTGAGAGCAGCGTTAACAGCAAACAAAATGCCGGTTCATAATTAGAGTGAGTGAGTTTGGTTTTACGCCGCTTTTAGCAATATTCCAGCAATATCACGGCGGGGGACACCAGAAATGGGCTTCACACATTGTACCCATGTCGGGATTCGAACCCGGGTCTTCGGCGTGACGAGCGAACGCTTTAACCTCTAGGCTACCCGACCGCCCCTCATAATTAGAACAAGCATGAAAGTTGTTCTTATGTACTGGAGCCACAGACGAACATTTCCATATATCCATATATATACTGATAATTGTTCTGCTATATACTTTAGAACGCGATTAATTATATTATCAGGCCCTGTTGCTTTGGAAACATCGAGACACAATAAAATGTCCGTAACTTCAGATTGTTGGCGGCTTATACTCTGAAGGCAATAGTCAACGTTTTCAGATGTATCATCATCTGGAAATTCATCTTAGGGATTATCAACCGTTGCAATGCCTACGAAGTACTTTTTCAATATATTTGCTTTATCAATATCATTTTCATACACAAAATCATTTTCTTCTATGAAAGGAAAAGATACTTTCGTCCAATTTGTCTGTTTAAGATGATACTCCATAATACATCACCATGATTGGCTACCGCGATCCTTGTTAATCATTTATTCCGTTTTTCAATACATGCTAATGTCCATTTCCTTATCACGCTTGAAATGAATTACTATTTTTTTCCTCATTTTTGCCAATCAGCAGGTGAATTTCAACGTTTGGCTTTATTTAATGAATCCTATTTCTCTTGCACATGAGCTTTGTAATATTTCCATTCATCCAGGGAGCATCACTTGGTTGTTTGTTGCGAAGAGTCAATTCTTATTTGTTTTGTTTGTTTGTTGTTTAACCCCGCAGTCAGCAATATTTCAGCTATATGACGGCGGTCTGTAAATAATTGAGTCTGGACCACACAATCTAGTGATTAATATCATGAGCATCGCTTCACTGGGGCGGACAAGGACTGTGGAATATTCGTGAGTTCGGTAATAGTATTTACTAACAGTTGTATTAATATCTCCATCATTTATAACATTATTCCAATTTACCTTACTGGAATTCTGCTGAAATAAGTGAATATTAATTATAATATATTTATTAATAGTTCGCGAGTACGCGCACCTCATGGAAGGGACATAATAACTCACAATAGCCACTGGCGGGGCTACGATCCAGCCCAGAAATTGTTGCCTCGTTCGGCAAGAGTGGAAACTGGACTCGTTTCAGTCAGTTAACTCCCTTGCCTCGGGGAAGATGGAGTACGCTTTCGTTATCTGCTGTGTTGATGTAAGAGCTATGTTAACTGAACAGTGGTCACCACCAAAAGGCGGAGAAAAATCCGAGAAACATGCGAGGTCGGGTCAGGACACGAAGATTAGGTCCATAAGAGTACTCGAATAACGGCAACACGTGCAGCTTCGTTTATCACATGTTCCGTACTATAAACTGACTTTATATGTTCAATATTAGGATATATTAGGATAATTTACAGTAAGAACTCACAGTACAATAGTTTTGATATGAGTGTCAGTCGCTTATGCAATGGATTGATCAATCAAATCCCAATAATACGAACTTGTGTCTGTTCTATGAATCGCCGCGAATAGCTTCAAGATTGCTGATGCGGCGTGAAGCAAAAATTACGAACACACTGTTCAATAAAACGTTCCAATATTCTTACATATAATTTGTGCCCATGCTGTTTCTAAACCAGGACGTTCTAATGCGCCCCGTGAAGATCCCGTGTTGAATAGGTCTTCAGCAACCCATGCTTGTCGTAAAAGGCAGCTATGCTTGCCGTTAGAGGCGACTAACGGGATCGGGTAGTCAGGCTAGCTGACTTTTTGATGCATGTCATCTTATCCCAATTGAGTTCATGATGTCAATCATTGGATTGTCTGGTCCAGACTCGATTATTTACAGACCGCCGTCATATAGCTGGAATATTGCTGAGTGCGGCGTTAAACAAACAAATCCTAAATCCTAGTTTATAGTGAATTGATTCTTTAACATAAATATATAGCTCCTCCACCGCCCCTGGTTTGTCTATCTTTTCTTACTGGTGGAAGACGTTAAAAGATGGTACTTGTTGTTACCCTGTCTGGAGCTCGGCATTAAGGGGCTGAAACACACACACACACACACACACACACACACACACACACACACACACACACGCGCGCGTGAATGCAAGTCGCGAAATGAGTCCAATATTCTTCCACGCGATGTTGAACCTCATTTCACCTCACCTCACGTTACTGGTGGATGAAAACCAGGAATATGTATTTTGTGGTCTAGGATTGCCATGTCTTAGAAATGCATATGACATCATATTCATTCAAGTCAGCATCAACTAAATCAGTTCTGTCATAAAGGCTACACATTAATATGCGTAATTAAGAAATAAACGATGAGTGGGATTTGTTTATCGTAGATTAAAAAAACTGCAGGGAGAATATAACATGAGGCTATCAACATTATGTATAACCTCTTTAAGGGTGATAGAACTATGTTTTATCGTGAAATATTAGATAGCTATGACACAAATCGCAAAGAACAATGAAGGACGAAGCATGGTTGATTTCACAATAAAACTTTGTTCTATCAAGACGTCATTTCTGGAGATTCGAACATGCTCTCGCAACATGATAGCGTCGTATGTTTTGGACGACGTTATTTTTGAGAGGGACGTGTCTGGTAAGTTGTTTCCCATAGATGTAGCTGAGCTGTTCAGATACACTTTCAGAGAATGTGTAACAACAGGCTTTGATCCTATCGTTCTTGCCCTCTGACCGGAGGACGTGGACTCACGACATGTCATTCGTACAACAGTACAAAACTTTCCTGACTGCTAGACCTTTAACTATATATTTGTACAATATATTACCTGCCTGAATTATTTATTAGTATCATATAAATATATCTTGCTATTCAAATAGCTTTTCAAATATTTATATATTGTTAACTATATTAACCAGTTCTAAGATTAAAGTCGTGTCCACTTTAACATGTCCTTTGTCGTTAAGGAGAACCAACGTGTGGACAATTACTCAACCACAGTCAGTACCGATGTATAAACAATTTGTTTCATCCCATCTTGACTGCTTGTCAACAAGCTTGTCAACATATCGGCACATAACTACAGATAATAATGTTGTTTGTTTGTTGTTTAACCCCGCGCTCAACAATATTCCAGCTATATGACGGCGGTCTGTAAATATTTGAGTCTGGACCAGACAATCCAGTGATTGATATTATGAGCATCGATCCACGTCATTGGGATAAGATGCCATGCATCAACCAAGTAACGAGCCTGACCACCCGATCCCGTTAGTCGCCTTTTTCGGCAAGCATGGATTGCTGAAGATCTATTCTAACCCGGATCTTCACGGGTTCACGGGTGAGGTGAGGTGAAATTGGGTTTAACGTCGCGTCCAAGATTATTGCACTTATATAGCGACGTGCATGCACGTGTGTGTGTGTGTGTGTGGCTGCTTGTACTAGTCTGGACTGATGCCGATTTATAGTGCTAGCTCACTGAGATACCATGCCGCAGTTTAACATGAATACCCCACTCAGACACAGTATACTGACTCCGAGCCAACCAGTCCTTGTTTCAGCCCCTTAATGCCGAGCGCCAGACAGGGTATCATCAAGTACCATCTTTTAACGTCTTTGGTATGACGCGGTCGGGGATCGAACCCCGGACCTTCCCCTCTCCGGGCGGACGCTCTACCACAAGACCACGGAGGCGGTCCGGGTTCACCGGTAGTAATATAAACTCCAGATTATATGGGTCTTGTAAAGATGTACCATTTTCCAATTGTTAATGTATTTATACCATTAAAAAAACCTAATGTAATTGGGTGTATATTTAATCTGCACAATCAACAGAAAATTACTGGTGCAAGAAAGCCCGACTGATTTATTCAGTTCATTTAATCATTATCGTAATTGCTTATATTTTGTGTCTATAATTAACAACACGCGGAAAAGAATATGTGTTACAAAAACAAAATATTAATCAGAAGGGTTTATTCCACGGAAATCCACTTTAACATAAAGTTTACGTTTAAATGCATCATCGTTTAATATCATGTGAAACATTTATAACAATAAACTCTGATGGAACCTCGATGAGTTCATGGCATGAGTTTCATACATGTATCAACAATGTAAAGTTGATGACGATTATGAATGCAAGCAGACACTCGAAAAGCAGTATTGATGCACCGGTCGAAGCCCCGGATATTGGAGGAGTGTCTTGAATGAAGACACTGACTCGGCCCAGGCTCCCGTTATTCGGCGCTGGCTCTATGTTGAGCAGTTTACACACGAGAGGGTAGATGTCGACATTCTGGATAGGATCTGACGCGAAGTTGGTCTTGAAGTTCGGTCCTCTCGCCAGGAATATTGGCTTCATTGACATCAGTGCGTTATCATAGCCATGGGTGGCTTTTGTGGTCTTTGTGGCCTGTTTTGTCTTGTTCTGCAAATACATAAGTAATTAGTGGAAATATGAGAAAGTGAGTAGGTTTAGCGCCGCTTTGGACAGTTTTTCAGTTATGTCACAATCTCATTGAAATCAGATCTTAGTTCTCGTTATCGCTAAACAATGATCTGAGGGCATCCCATTACGGGTCACGTCAGAACGACCTTTCATCCGACCAATCAAATCGTCGCTTACCAGATCATGAAAGTGACAGTCGGAATGTGTTTTCTAATCATGCAACCTCGAAAACGTTGAAACGGGGTATTCCGAACGACAGTTCCGGCCCGTTTACGACTGATTCCGTCAAAATTATCGTCTATCTCTCGCATCCGTGGGATATACATTTGAACGGAGGAGACGTTGCACAGTACGTGGGAAGCACTGCCACACAATCTCAACCATATATTTGACATTCCGGAATTTTCGTTTGTTCTGTTTTCAAAATTTTAATCGAGAACTATGTCAGCATATTTATCAAGCGTAGTCTGAAATGAAAGTCGCAAGGTTGAAACTAGTGCCGTAAAGCTCAAGAAAGCTGCTTTCTAATTGGCTGATGTATTCTTGTAAGTCGTTTCAGTGGTCGCTCAAAGTTCGCGAAAGGTCGTTCTGACGTGACCCGTAATGGGGTGTCCTTAGATCTTTGTTTAGCGGCAGCGAGAACTTAGATCTGATTTTAATGAGATTGGTTATGTCACGGTGTGTCAACTTCATGTAGCAGGAAAACCAGAGCGATACAGGCTTTAGACATTCACCACTTCGGATAAAACGGACAGGTATGGTGTTGTTAAACCTGGAAACATCATCAGGTCGAACCGGAATTCGAACTCCATATCATGGGTTTCTGGTACCCATAAAGGTACGTAGTTGTGTACAGTGAGTGAGTGAGTTGGGTTTTAACACCGCTTTTAACATTATTCTCTGACGCTGACATTTTCTACTTACAGAAGTAGGGGCACGGGTGGCCCAGTCGTCTAAGGCGCCGCGATTCGCTGTAGAGTTGCGTCCCTTAGGCATGTCAGAAACCTATGATTGTGGGTTCGAATCCCGGTTCGCCCCGATTATGTTTCTAGGTTTGTCAGCACCATACCCGTACTCGTGGGTTTCACCAAAGTGGTAAACGTCTGATACCTGCATCACTTCGGGCTTTCCTCCCACATTAAGCTGACACGCTGTGATATAACTGGAATACTGTCAAGAGCGGCGTAAAACCCAACTCCCTCACTCACTCACTTACAGAAGTTATCTCCCCTGCTATGATGAATGCGATCCTCACAGCGATAGCCAGTTCTCGGAGCTTTCTATATTATCACATCCACCAGTCACAGCTCCATACAGTGCTTGGCGGCATAGAACCATGGATTGAGTTGAACTCGCAACCGTCCGACCGTTATGTTTACAAGCAAAGGAGTGTACCTTCCTACATGGGGAATTATTTTGTTTGTGTGTCAATTTGAATTTTTATTTCAACTATCATGTAAATAGTACAGTGAGAATGTAAGGGGAAGTTGGTGCTTTTCCGCTATCTTCAATCTCGAATCAATCTGAATAAATATACTCTTCAAAAAAAGAAACGCAATACGGATATTTAGGCCATAAAAGCGAAATAAGAGGACCAAGAGGTGCAAAATGAAGAGGTTTAATATGTTATAGTGTCAGTGACCCATTTCCCGGATCAAAATGTTCACAACAAGGACATGCAAGCCATTAATCGGGCAACACGTACGATTCGGAAAAACGCACCCAGTGCACTTACAAAAGGGCCATGGAGCTGCACGTGCAGCAGCACTGTGATCGGTATAAATGTGCAGGGTTTTGATTCTCTGGCATCTGCGTCAATCGAACAGTGACAGTTCAACAACATGCCAAGATCAACAGAAGTTCATTGGCCGCTTGCAGGCAGGGGATCCCGATGGGATCGGTTTCAACAGCATGGGTCAACACGTGATCGGCCAAGGTCGGGGGGACCAAGAGTAACAACCCCTGCCCAAGATCGCTACATCGGACTGCGCCACCTACGTGAAAGGAGAGCCCCAGCCACCTCAACCGCATCCCAAATACCCGGACTGCGCAGAATCTGACCAGGCCGTACGAAACTGTTTAAGAGCAGCAGGACTACGAGCCAGACGTCCTGTTCGACGCGTCATATTGAGTCGACAACATCATCAACAACGACTGCATTGGTGTCGTCAGCACAGGGTATGGCCTCAACTGCGATGGAGAGATGTCTGGTTCAGCGACGAATCAGGATTTCTCCCCCGTCGAGGTAATGGAAGAGCACGGGTCTACAGACGTCGGGGAGAACGTTACGCCGGAAACTGCGTACAGGAAGTGGACAGGATTGGTGGGGGTAGCGTTATGATGTAGGCGGATATCTCTCATCATGGCAGGACAGATTTGGTCCATATCAAGGTCAGTCTTACGGCTCAACGATACATCAACGAAATTCTCCTACCACACGTCCTCGAAATTGCAGCCACCGGCAACGGTGTATTCCAGCAGGACAACGCTCGAAAGAATACAGCACGGATCACAAGAGCCCGTCTACACAACAACAACGTTGATGTTCTCCCCTGGCCCTCCAGATCCCAGGATATGAACCCGACAGAGCACCTGTGGGATGAATTGGATAGACGGTTACGCCGACGTCAACCACAACCCAGACGTTGCAGCAGTTGGCTTTTGGGTTGCAGGCCGAGTGGGCTACCATTCCCCAGGATGTGATTCGCATACTCGTCTCTCCCATGGGCTGGAGATGTCATATGTACGGGGGACATACGCGTTATTGATTGTAGGTGACCTTCACCTTGGACTTTTCCTATGTACCGATAACCGTGGATAAGTACAATCACCAAGTGTTCTCTCCACAACATAATGGCTCAATACCTTGTACAGTTAAATGTATTGCCCTACCTCACACAAATCTGGCTTTACGTTTCTTTTTTTGAAGATTATACATAGACTTAAAACATTAAAATTTTCCTAATTCACTGTAATGGCATTCCCAAAGACATAAACACAAATTAAAATGTCATTACATTTGGGGTCTGCCAAATTCATGATCCTTGTAATGGCCGTTTGTGGCAGCGATGAAACTGGGAGGGTGACAAAGGTGTCACGCGTGACTACGGTTGTATATGACTGACCCCTTTGTGATCCATGCCTTACAGTGGTTGTCTCCCCTGTCTTGATGACGCTGTGTATGACCCATCTACATGTATGACCAGTGATTTACAGTGGTTATCTGCCCTGTCTTGATGACGCTGTGTATGACCCATCTACATGTATGACCAGTGACTTACAGTAGTTATCTCCCCTGTCTTGATGACGCTGTGTATGACCCATCTACATGTATGACCAGTGACTTACAGTAGTTATCTCCCCTGTCTTGATGACGCTGTGTATGACCTATCTTCATGTATGACCAGTGACTTACAGTGGTTATCTGCCAACCCTCCTCTGCTATCATGACGATAGGCATGATCCTTCTGTTGTTCCGGTAATGGAGACGTTCAGGAAGATCCTCCTTCTTGTAGACTGTGATATGTTCCACTCCAGTCAGACTCTGAATAATGGCGTCGTCCTGACCCTCTACCGGCAGAATCTGCATCACGGGGCCGTAACTCGGGACACGAGCTACCTTTGTCATGTCCACATAATCAGATATATCCACGACCTGAAAGATTATGTTATGAAAAAATCAAAGGTCAATGCCACGAGGTTGAAATATCATTTGTTTTAAATTTTCCATCGAGTGGTATTTACATGAATGACACGTGGTACGTGATAAACACGTGATTTGACAAGTTGCCATCTGTTCATTGCATTTAATGATTTCTCACTGATTTTTGTAAATCACGTGTTACTGAAGCCAACTCAGAGTTGTTCTGGCTAAAACTTTTATTTACACTTTACTCCAGTGAAATATTACGTTTAAATTTTAAGAGAAAAATATCATACCTTAGTACTAATATAGTTATAACGTGTGCTACTGGTTATGATTATTTGAACAAAGGCAGACGTGAATAGCTGAGACATTGCTGATACGGCTATAAATATTTTGTACTTACAACTGTGGTTAATGCTGTTTCAGTAAAAAATTGAAAGAAAATCCATTCATTCAATTATCCATTAAATGTGTCTTCAGAAGGCCCGTGGTCAAAGTGATTGCTTCAAGGGGATATTTCTAACGTCTGCTACATGTCATGAAAAGATCAGAGGTCAAGGTCACGAGGTTGAAAAGCTTTCGGAAAACAGTTTGTGGTTACACTTATCAAACTATATTAATGGATTTATCGTTTCACTTGGTGCATACAGTTTCTGGGACACTTTGGTCAATATAAGGAAAAGGTCAAGGTCAGCGTTCAGTTTTATTTTGTAAAAACAGCGTTGTGCCATTGTCAGCATGAGACAAGGTTACCTCTAAAGGCGTGGGAGTTTATACTTATACATGTTAAATAACAAATTCTACCACATCAAATGTCAACTGCATCTATGTCAAAGATTTAGGTCACCTTTGAGGTAATTGTCAGAAATAGTTGCATTATGTTTTCCATTGAATATAGCGCCAAATAGAGTGTATCGAAAAATGGACTTATTCCACACGGCCCTGGAGACTTCTTTTGGCATGATAAAGTCAAAGGTCAAGGTCACGAGATGGTAAACCTCAAAAAAGTTTGTGGTTGCAATTTCTCAAAATATATTAATTCTTTAATCATTAAATATTCCCTCTATGATGGGACCATCTTTTGAAAAGGTTTTGTCAAAGGTCAGGGTGTTTCTGAGGCAAGACCACGTCTACACGTATGGAACTTTACATTTGAATAAATCCTTACAAATCCTACCACATTAAAAATTGGTGATATGTCTACCAAGGTCAAGGTCATCTTTGAGGTTATTGTTAAACATCACTGTATCAGTCATTGCTAGTTACTGTTACACTTTCCCATGTACAATCCTTAATCTTAAGAATCCGTCTTGATTAAGGAAGAAACGTTCTTTGAATGGAAGTACATGGTGGTATTTTAAGATTTTAGAGCTTTGAGAAAATGGTAGTGACGAGCCTGCTTCTCTTTGTGTAAGTACAGTCGCGCCCCGTTATCTCACTTTTTCATTTGCCAAACATTCAGGCAACTTGGGATTGTCTGTTCATTGAGATACTGTCTCGGAGACATTTTTATGCGTGTGCTCAGCTCAATTGCATTAGTGAGTTCCCCTAAAGGCGCACACATTTGGCTTCTGCGTGCATTAACGTCACTTGCTGTCCATGCATGATGTGAGTGAGTAAGTTAGTTGGGTTTAACGCCGTTTTTAACAGTATTCCAGTTATATCGCGGCGTGTCAGCTTAATGTGGGAGGAAAGCCCGAAGTGATGCAGGTCTCAGACGTTTACCACTTCGGTGAAACCCACGAGCACGGGTATGGTGCTGACAAACCTAGAAACATAATCAGGGCGAACCGGGATTCGAACCCACAATCATAGGTTTCTGGTGTGCCCAAGGGACGCAACTCTGCACAGCGAATCGCGGCGCCTTAGACGACTGGGCCACCCGTGCCCCCTGCATGATGTGAAGTTTCATTGTGATCAGATGTTGTGTACAGATGCAACGTCACGGTGTTGTAAATACACATCTTAACGACAGCTGCATTCAAATCGTTTGTTCCCTTATTTTTTATCGGTCGGACCTTTTCTCACATAATCATCTAGACTCGACGTAAAGGTACAGTGCAATTTGCACCAATTGTTCAACCAAATTTTGTGCTTGCCTTTATTCACTTGTAAAATTTAATGGTAGTCTGTATTGATAATTGTGTCATCACATACATTGTTGTGTTCATAAATTCTCAAGTACGCACTCGGATGGATCTATAAAACTATTGCTTGATCTGTCTGGCTATCCATGCCTAGCTATCTCGAATGTTCGGATGTCTCAAAGTTTCCAGCACGATATACGACCTACCTTATTGACGTTATCTACTTCAACCATTCCATGGTCACTGGTAACAATGACATTGACCTCATTTTCGAGGTCATTGTCCTTCATCTTCTGCACGAGGTAACCAAGGATTTCATCCATGTACGCGACCTTGTCCTTGACCTCTTGTGATTCTGGCCCAAATCTGTGTCCAGTTGAATCGGGCTCTGGGTAATACAGGGTGGCAAATTTGACATCTTTGGTCTTGAACCAGTCAACGACGGTGTCAACTCGTTCCTTATAAGGCGGGTCGTCCGCGTAGGGGAACCAGTAGTCCGGCCGCACACCCCGAATCTCAGTCTCGCTACCTGGCCAAAAATAGGCCCCAGCCTTCAAACCCTTAAACAGATAAACAGAGCGAGTTTGTTTTAACACTTTGAACACTATTTCACGACGTGCTGAATGGTAAGCCGGTACTAGACCTTTGCCATTTAAATGAAGCTCACGAGGTGGCCTTGATAGATGAAGGTTCACAATCTCATTAAAATCAGATCTTAGATTTCGCTGCCGCAAAACAAAGATATGAGGACAACACATTACAGATCACGACAGAACGACCTTCAGCGAACTTTGACCGACCAATGAAATGACTAACAAGAAGTCAACATTAGCCTATCAGAAAGCAGCTGTCTCGAGCTGTATGGCATTAGTGTCGTAACTGGTTTCGGGCGTCCAGTGCGACCCTAATACAGTTACTAAATGTATTGCCGTTCCTGGTCCTTGTGGTCACTTAAGCCAGGACATTGCCCTCGCCTTGTCCACCACGGCTCGGCTCCGTCAAGGAGTGATTGGTCTAATGACCCTTACTCCAAGTTGTCTCTATCAGCATTCACACACGCATAATAAAGAAACGCAACACCAGTTTATACTCACATAGTTTTACTTACTCTCCGCCCATCTATCACTACAGAACAGGATCAGACTGGCCAGGCTCGTCACTAGCTGGTGGAAACTTCGAACGATCGGGATTCGACTCGATCGACTGTAAACCGCGCACCACTCTCCTAATGTTGAGGGTATCATTTTATAGTGTTCGAGCCTGACCTGTCCTTGTCACATGTCTCAATACCTCCATTTGATTCGTTACAAGTTTATATCTGACCATGAACTCATGTGTGTCACCATCGGAAAAATACCAAAAACCTACGTGCCAGGTTGCTCATCTCTCTATTGATTTCGTGACTCGCTCCAAAGCTCCAAATGGATTATACCTTGTAATTCCCCATTTGTTTCATTAACTCATGGATAATAGCCAGAGACCAATCCAATGATAAATGTGAAATGTCCAGAATACACTTGTGATAAATGTGAAATGTCTTTTCTCTATTGATTCCTTTCCAACTACCAGTTCTGTCACGAACTATATCTAATGGGTTCTATTTATTATCATTCGTTTCTGAGGTGCATTTTTAACCTTATAACATTAGTTTCAAACTGGCGACAAGGCTTTGAAAAAATATTTTTAGTTGTCGATTCAAAATTTGGAAACTGAATAAAAGAACATTCTGGAATGTCTAAGAGATGGCCTAGGCTGTATAGCAGTACTTCCCAGGGGCATTGCAAAGTCTCTTCCGTTCAAATCTTCATCTTATTGAAGCGAGATATAGACGATGATTTGTACGGATTCAGTCGTTAAGCCCATAAGTGTCGTTGGGAATAAGCCCGTGTTATAAAATTTTCGAGGTTGTATGATTAGAAAACACATTCCGACTGTCACTTTCCTGATCTAGTAAGTGAACCTTTCTTGCTCGGATGAAAGGTCGTTCTTGCGTGAGTCGTACTAGTGAGTGAGTGAGTGAGTGAGTATGGTTTTACGCCGCTTTTAGCAATATTCCAGCAATATCACGGCTGGGGACACCAGACATGGGCTTCACACATTGTACCCATGTTGGGAATCGAACCCGATCTTCGGCGTGACGAGCGAACGCTTTAACCACTAGGCTACCCGTCCGCCCTGACCTGTAATAGGATGTCCTCAGATCTTTGTTCAGCGGTAGCGAGTACTAGGATCTGATTTTAATGAGATTTGTTCAAAATCGGTATCAATCTAGAATTCGAACTTAGAATTGATGTGCTTCATATTAATTACCTTTCACATACTGACATTTTGGCTGTATGCTCTTGATTGTAGTTCTACACAACGTCAACATGGTTGTATGTGTAGCAGAAGGTCCGTGGTTCGAATCCCATTACGGGACTCGGAAATTGTATGGCCGCTACATATGCTCTTGGTTTAACCATGCTTTTCATGAAGGTTGTATGCTCTTGATAATAGTAAACTTTTACAAGTAGTTTTCATGGCTGCTCTTAATCTCAGTCAGCCTCAACAACAGGCCGCCGTGAATGTATGCTTTTGATAATAGTCAACACCGCTTTAGGTGAGGTGAAATGGGTTTTAACGTCGCGTTCAAATCAAAATAACTGCACTTATGGACCAACGTGTGTGTGTGTGTGTGTGTGTGTGTGTGTGTGTGTGTCCGTCCGGACTAATGCCGATTTTATAGTGCTAGCCCTCTGAGATACCATGTCGCAGTTTAACATGCATACCCCACTCAGACACAGTATACTGACTTCGAGCCAACCAGTCCTTGCTTTAGCCCCTTAATGCCGAGAGCCAGACAGGGTAACAACAAGCACCATATTCAAATGTCTTTTAGTATGACGCGACCATGCGCTCTCCAGGCGGACGCCCTGCCACTATACCACGATGGCGGTCCAACACCGCTCTAAACTATATTGATATAATCCTCAAAGACGTTAAAGAATGCCCGATTCTTTCACATTACCATGACAGAGTAACTATAGTAATAAGGTGATGTCGGATACAAGTCTTTATTCCGCAAATGTTTGGGTGAAGTCAGCAGTCGTCATAACTCTGATAATGGACGGCGTCACTGTTGTAAGTTAAAGAGATTGAACAGTTCAAAACTTCATTCCTTGCAGGGCGGTCGGGTAGCCTAGTAGTTAAAGCGTTCGCTCGTTACGCCGGAGACCCGGGTTCGAATCCCGACATGGGTACAATGTACATTTCTGGTGTCCTCCGCCGTGATATTGCTGGAATATTGCCAAAAGCGGCGTAAAACCATACTCACTCACTCATTTCTTGCATGGTGTGTTTGTGTTGTTTAAAAATATCTTGCGTTGTTTGATAGCATTTATACAAGTATTTCTCTTTCGGAAAATCTATTTGGAGAAAGGAAAATTGTTACAATAAAGATTATTTGGCGAAAAGTGATCGTATGGTATTAATCTCCATTTTCAAGCACGGGGCCCGACTGTGGTGAGGCGAAACACGTGCATAAAACCTATTGTGGTTTCGTGTTGGCCATCATGCTATTGTTGCTGTTTTTACTTCTGTTGATGAACAAAAACAAAGTATGAAAAGAATTATGATTGTACCTGCTTCTTGGCTGTGACCCACAACGGCTCTCCCCCATCCCACCAGCGTGTCTCTGTGGTGCCCATGTAGAAGGTTGCGTTGAACTCGGGGTCGTACATGTAGTTGCCGGTAATCCCATGGCTTTCCTCCCACAGACCTGTTAACGATGAACTAGCAAGTTAATCTTTTATATACTTGGCTTCGAGTGAGCCGAATAAATGAGAAAGAAATCACCCATTGTCTATTTGACTTGGTTGATGCATGTCATCGTATCCCAATTGCGTGGATCGATGCTCATGATGTCAACCACTGGATTGTCTATATACGAAAATATTCATCAATGACGTTATCGGCTAATTGGTAACGTCATGCATGTCCGTGAGTCACAATTTATTTGTCATTGGATGTAAAGTGAAGACAACCAGTATGCATGAAGAAAGCATGGACCCGTGAAGATCCGGGGTAGAGTAGATCTTCAGCCACCCTTCAGCGCCAAAAGGCGACTATGCTTGTCGTAAGAGGCGACTAACGGGATCGGGTGGTCAGGTTGCTGACTTGGTTGATGCATGTCATCGTATCCCAAATGCGTGGATCGATGCTCATGATGTCAATAACTGGATTGTCTGGTCCAGACTCGATTATTTACATACCTCATATAGCTGGAATATTGCTGAGTAATAAAGCTAGATTAATGATTGTTAATATACATGTGAAAGAAGAGGAAGCGGTGCGAGGGGATGGATTACAATGCCTGCCTCATTTTCTTTTTATCACTCAGTAGTACTGACCGCCTCCGTGGTAGAGCGTCCACCCGGGGCATCCGATCCGGGGTTCGATCCCGGCCGCGTCAAATATAACGAGTGAGTGAGTGAGAATGGTTTTACGCTGCTTTTAGCAATATTCCAGCAATATCACGTCGGGAACACCAGAAATGGGCTTCGCACATTGTACCCATGTTGGGAATCGAACCCGGGTGACGAGCGAACGCTTAACCACTAGGCTACACGACCGCCCCCATATCAAAAGACGTTAAAAGATGCTACTTGTTGTTACCCTGTCTGGCATTAAGGGGCTAAAACAACGACTGATCGGCTCGGAGTAGGGTATTCATGTTAAACTGCGGCATGGTATCTCAGTGGACCAGCACTATAAATCGACATTTCTCCGGACTACTACAAGCAGCCACACACACGCGTGCCTGCACTTCGCTATATAAGTGCAATAATATTGGACGCGACGTTAAACCTCATTTCCCCTCACCTCACTCAGTAGAACTCGGTATCCTACCAGTACATATGACGCCAATTATTTGTTGGCAAAACAATTTGACTTCTCCCAGCTGTCTGCATCAGGCTGCTTCTCACTCGGATCCACTCGGCCTGTTCCGGTACCTACGCTATACCTCGGTAGACACTGGCGTAGTGATACTGTACAATTTCAGTGTAATCCTCGCAACGCAGATCCCCCCGCATATAGTTCGTATAACATGACCGCCTTATTATAAGGAGACCGCCTCCGTGGTCTCCGTGGTCTAATGGTAGAGCGTCCGCCCGGAAAGCGGAAGGTCCGGGGTTCGATCCCCAGCCACGTCATACCAAAAGACGTGAAAAGATGGTACTTGTTGTTACCATGTCTGGCGCTCGGCATTAACGGGCTAATACAAGGATTGGTCGGCTCGGAGTCGGAATATTGTGTCTAAGTTGGGTATTCATGTTAAACTGTGGCATGGTATCTCACTGAGCTGGCACTATAAATCGGCCCGGACTAGTACAAGCAGCCACACACACACACGCACACACGCACACACACACACGTCCAAGTGCAATAATCTTGGACGCGACGTTAAACCCAATTTCATCTCACCTCACCTCACAGATTGTGTTGTATCACGTGACTGTGATTGTTCTGTGCACGGAACTAGTTTCAGTATTGATTTCTGTAAGGGCAGGCTGAGGTCTTATACGACTGAGCCATCTGGAGTGATTGCGAGTGCGGATACAGGTAGGTGAGTGAGAGTACTGAGTTTAACGCCGCTTTTAACGGTCTTATGTACGGCGTGAGGGAGGAAAGCCCGAACTGATGCGGTATAGTTTGAGAAAAAGTCACAACTCTTTTGAATAGGACGTCAGGGTTAGGTGTTTAAAAAATAAACATCGCTATAGATGAATGCGTTTGTTACCTGTTATTATTATTATTTGTGTCACCAACATGTCACTAAAAAATCACATGTCTGGAATACGTCAGCTAGATTGGTATGATGCATCCAATGTCGTGACGTCACCTAGCTGTAGGATATAGGGCGATTATGCGATGACCCTCGGCCAGCATTTATAGCAGCTAATGTTCTTCGTTTAGGCTATGTTGACTTTCATATATATCGCCTGTGTAAATATAGACCTACTTGTGACCAGTCAGGTGCATAAAACCAGCCGAATCTAGCCGTTTGACTGGCCAATCGCATTCCTATTCGTAACAGTGAGTGGGTGTGGTTTGACGCCACTCATTCCAGCAATATCCTGCAGGGGGCACCAGAAGTAAGCTTCTCATATTGTACCCGTGTAGGGAATCGAACCCGGGCCTTCGGCGTGACGAACGAACGAACGCTTTAACCACTAGGCTACCCCACGCAAGAAACCGCGATTGTGGGTTCGGATCCCGGTTCGCTCGGATTATGTTACTAGTTTTGTCAGCACCATACCCGTGATCGCGGGTTTCACCGAAGTGGTAAACGTCCGAGACCTGCATCACTTCGGGCTTTCCTCCCACATTAAGCTGACACGCCGCGATATAACTGGAATACTGTTAAAAGCGGCGTTAAACCCAACTCACTCACCCATTTATATACTTAAATAATAAAACGTGCTCTACTTTCATGTGTAGTGTTAGTAAGTATAAGTGTGCCCTGAACGATTACAGTGGAGCACGAGCTAAATCCAGTCTTTATTCTTAATAAATGATATTTACCAAACCTAAACCCACTCGCTTGAGAACTCCTTGTGTGTATCAAGGTTCTTTTGAGCGCATGCATTGGACAGTGCGCTATACAAATTATATCAAACGAGTTGGATTGGCTTGTGCGGGTCGCACGGTTTACGAGCTGAATTGTAAACTGGGCTAGTGCCTCAGGCAGTCAACAATGTCAGTACACTAAAGTGGTTGTATTTACATATCGCAGCCTTCAAGTTGACAGAGATGAACAGCTTACACCTCCACACATGACAACCAACAGGGTCACAGCGACTGCCTGTACCCGCCTCACCCACGCACACAATACCAGAAGTGTTTATCATACAGCTCATCCGGGTAAGTACCGTGAAACCCAGTACTCGCGAGAACGCGCGAGATTGACCCCAACAGTATTATAGGTTATGTACATGAACATGTCCAGTTTATGCGAACACCCTTCAGTCGGGGCCTGTTATTCTGGCAAACTGTCTTCCAGAAGATTACGTTACATAGATATATATTACTCTGTTTCTATGATCCGGAATTCACAACAAGCAATGGGGGCGACCGTGCGGCGCCGTGATATTATTAATTTTCACATTATTTGTGGGCTTGTCATTTATTACGCGGCGGGCCATGTAAAAACAATATTTGGTTGACCATAAAAAAAATGTTTCATAAACTCCTGGGTGAAGACAAACTATGATACAGTTTATATTTAAGACCACTTTTCATACCCGGCATATTCAATAGTCCCTTACCTGTAATCATGGTATAATGATTAGGAAAGGTGAGAGTTGGGAAGCTGGAATTCATGAACGTGGTCCTGACTCCCCCGTCCCCGAACGTGTGGAAGTGTGGCGTGGAGGTCGCGTTGTTGAGATAGTCCCATCGGAATCCGTCCATGGACACGAGAAGCACTCTGTTCTTGAAGTCATCAGCAGTCGTCCACACAGACAGGAGAACAAGGATAGCGACGATACTGATTGACGCCATGGCGGCAGATTCACACCGCCTTGTCAACTACCTCCTTATACAAGCCTCGCGCGTTGTAAGCGTATGACTTACAGCCACTTGCTTGTTATATCCTCGTCTCCTGAACCTGCTTGCTTTTACGCAATGCGAGCGAATGACGTATTGAATATTTTTGCATATATGATCTGGGTCACCAAAGTCATACTGTACACAATTTTCAATGACATCTTAACTCGTTCTGACGTGACCCGGATGTCATCAGACCTTTGTTGAGCGATAGCGAGAATTAAGATCTGTGATGTAAGTGGGATTGTTGACCCGTGAAGATCCGGGTTACAATTGGTCTTCAGCTACCAATGCGTGTCGTAAGAGGCGACTAACGGGATCGGGTCAGGCTTGCTAACTTGGTTGATGCATGTCATCGTATCCCCATTTCCTGGATCGATGCGCATGATGTCAACCACTGGATTGTCTGGTCCAGACTCGATTATTTACAGACCTCATATAGCTGGAATATTGCTGAGTAATAAAGCTAGATTAATGATTGTTAATAAACATGTGAAAGAAGAGGAAGCGGTGCGAGGGAACGGATTACAATACCTGCCTCATTTTCTTTTTATCACTCAGTAGTACTGACCGCCCGGAGCGTCCGTTCCGGGGTTCGATCCCGGCCGCGTCATACCAAACGAGTGAGTGAGTGAGAATGGTTTTACGCTGCTTTTAGCAATATTCCAGCAATATCACGTCGGGAACACCAGAAATGGGCTTCGCACATTGTACCCATGTTGGGAATCGAACTCGGGTGACGAGCGAACGCTTTAACCACTAGGCTACACGACCGCCCCCATATCAAAAGACGTTAAAAGATGCTACTTGTTGTTACCCTGTCTGGCATTAAGGGGCTAAAACAACGACTGATAGGCTCGGAGTAGGGTACTCATGTTAAACTGCGGCATGGTATCTCAGTGGGCCAGCACTATAAATCGACATTTCTCCGGACTACTACAAGCAGCCACACACACGCGTGCCTGCACGTCGCTATATAAGTGCAATAATATTGGACGCGACGTTAAACCTCATTTCCCTTCACCTCACTCAGTAGAACTCGGTATCCTACCAGTACATATGACGCAAATTATTTGTTGGCAAAACAATTTGACTTCTCCCAGCTGTCTGCATCAGGCTGCTTCTCACTCGGATCCACTCGGCCTGTTCCGGTACCTACGCTTTACCTCGGTAGACACTGGCGTAGTGATACTGTAAAATTTCAGTGTAATCCACGCAACGCAGATCCGTCCGCATATAGTTCGTATAACATGACCCCCTTATTATAAAGACAAAAACAAACAGTTAAAGAAGGCACACGACTTCCGTCAGAGACCGCCTCCGTGGTCCAGTGGTAGAGCGTCCGCCCGGAGGGCGGAAGGTCCGGGGTTCGATCCCCGGCCACGTCATACCAAAAGACGTGAAAAGATGGTACTTGTTGTTACCATGTCTGGCGCTCGCCATTAACGGGCTAAAACAAGGACTGGTCGGCTCGGAGTCGGTTTACTGTGTCTGAGTTGGGTATTCATGTTAAACTGCGGCATGGTATATCAGTGAGCTGGCACTTTAAATCGGCATCAGTCCGGACTAGCACAAGCAGCCACACACACACACACACACACACACACACACACACACCCACACACACACCAACCCACACACACACATGCAAGTGCATGCACGTCCAAGTGCAATTTTCTTGGACGCGACGATAAACCCAATTCCATCTCACCTCACCTCACAGATTGCGTTGTATCACGTGACTGTGATTGTTCTGTGCACGGAACTAGTTTCAGTATTGATTCCTGTAAGGGCGGCTAAGGTCTTATACGACTGAGCCATCTGCAGTGATTGCAAGTGCGGATACAGGTAGGTGAGCGAGAGTGTTGAGTTTAACGCCGCTTTTAACGGTCTTATGTACGGCGTTAGGGAGGAAAGCCCGAAGTTTTTGAAAAAGTCACAACTGTTTTGAATAGGACGTCAGGGTTAGGTGTTACCTGTTATTATTATTATTTGTGTCACCAACATGCCACTAAAAAGTCCCTTGTCTGGAATACGTCAGCGTGATTGGTATGATGCATCCAATGTCATGACGTCACCTAGCTGTAGGATATAGGGCGATTATGCGATGACCCTCGGCCAGCATTTATAGCAGCTAATGTTCTTCGTTTAGGCTATGTTGACTTTCATATAAATCGCCTGTGTAAATATAGAGCAACTTGTGACCAGTCAGGTGCATAAAACCAGCCGAATCTAGCCGTTTGACTGGCCAATCGCATTCCTATTCGTAACAGTGAGTGGGTGTGGTTTGACGCCACTCATTCCAGCAATATCCTGCAGGGGGCACCAGAAATACGCTTCTTATATTGTACCCGTGTAGGGAATCGAACACGGGCCTTCGGCGTGACGAACGAACGAACGCTTTAACCACTAGGCTACCCCACGCAAGAAACCTATGATTGTGGGTTCGAATCCCGTTTCGCTCGGATTATGTTTCTAGGTTTGTCAGCACCATACCCGTGCTCGTGGGTTTCACCGAAGTGGTAAACGTCTAAGACCTGCATCACTTCGAGCTTTCCTCCCACATTAAGCCGACACGCCGCGATATAACTGGAATACTGTTAAAGCGGCGTTAAACCAAACTCACTCACTCACTTTATATTCTTAAGTTATAAAACGGGCTCTACTTTCATGTGTAGTGTTAGTAAGTATAAGTGTGCCCTGGACGATTACAGTGGAGCACGAGGATCGCTAAATCCAGTCTTTATTCTTAATAAATGATATTTACCAAACCTAAACCCACTCGCTTGAGAACTCCTTGTGTGTACTATACGTGTATCAGGGTTCTTTTGAGCGCATGCATTTGACAGTGCACTATACAAATTATATCAAACGAGTTGGATTGGCTTTTGCGGGTCGCACGGTTTACGAGCTGAATTGTAAACTGGGCTAGTGCCTCAGGCAGTCAACAATGTCAGTACACTAAAGTGGTTGTATTTACATATCGCAGCCTTCAAGTTGACAGAGATGAACAGCTTACACCTCCACACATGACAACCAACAGGGTCACGGCGACTGCCTGTACCCGCCTCACCCACTCACACAATACCAGAAGTGTTTATCATACAGCTCATCCGGGTAAGTACCGTGAAACCCAGTACTCGCGAGAACGCGCGAGATTGACCCCAACAGTATTATAGGTTATGTACATGAACATGTCCAGTTTATGCGAACACCCTTCAGTCGGGGCCTGTTATTCTGGCAAACTGTCTTCCAGAAGATTACGTTACATAGGTATATATTACTCTGTTTCTATGATCCGGAATTCACAACCAGGGCTTTGGAACATTCCAATTATTTACTGCGCTGCATTTATCGGGCTTCGCGTGGTATACACTGAAACATCTTGACAAGGTACCTATGATTTTCGCAAGTGGATCGGGTCTGCGGTAAGGCCCCGTGACTTGAATCATTGCATGTCAACCTATCTCATTTCCGTGGGTTCATGATGTCAATCACTGGATTGTCTGTTCCAGGCTTGATTATTTACAGACCGCCGTCATATAGCTGGAACATTGCTGAGTGCGGCGTTAAACAACAAACAGTCAAAACAACCGTGTCACCTTTGCAAAAAGGACATAACATGTCAGACTGTAATTTACCAAATAAACGACCATCCAAATATATATGTAAATGAACAGGTGAAGGAACGATTTTGCAGTTCATTAATCCGATTATATCATATCTTTAGGGACAGGCAATTTATTTATTTATTATATTGTCATTTCTTATTTTATGTTATTAATTATTTCTATATATTTTTTATTTATTTATTTTTTTGGGGGTGGTGGGGGGAATGAATGTGTGCGTGTTGGGTGTATGTGTGTGTGGCGGGGGGGGGGGGGGGGGGGGGGTGCGGCGCGGTGACCATGAAAAAATGTTTCATGAACTCCTGGGTAGAGACAAACTATGATACAGTTTATATTTAAGACCACTTTTCATACCCCGCATATTCAGTGACCAGTCTCTTACCTGTAATCATGGTATAATGATTAGGAAAGGTGAGAGTTGGGAAGCTGGAATTCATGAACGTGGTCCTTACTCCCCCGTCCCCGAACGTGTGAAAGTGTGGCGTGGAGGTCGCGTTGTTGAGATAATCCCATCGGAATCCGTCCATGGACACGAGAAGCACTCTGTTCTTGAAGTCATCAGCAGTCGTCCACACAGACAGGAGAACAAGGATAGCGATGATACTGATTGACGCCATGGCGGCAGGTTCACACCGTCCTGTCAACTACCTCGTTATACAACCCTAGCGCGATGTATGCGTATGACTTACAGCCACTTGCTTGTGATATCCTCGTCCCCTGAACCTGCTTGCTTTTACGCAATGCGAGCGAATGACGTATTGCATATTTTTGCACATATTATCTGGGTCACCAAAGTCATACTGTACACATTTTTCACTGACATCTTAACTCGTTCTGACGTGACCCGGATGTCATCAGACCTTTGTTGAGCGAGAATTAAGATCTGTGATGTAAGTGGGATTGTTGACCCGTGAAGATCCGGGTTACAATTGGGCTTCAGTTACCGATGCTTGTCGGGATCAGGTCAGGCTCGCTAACTTGGTTGATGCATGTCATCGTATCCCAAGTGTTTGGATCGATGCTCATGATATCAGTCACTGGATTGTCCGGTCTAGACTCGATTTTAACAGACCGCCGTCATATAGCTGGAATATTACTGAGTGCGGCGTTAAACAACAAACAAGAACCCCGTGAACACCCGTTAACGCTAACTTTATAACTTTCCCATATAATTTGCGATTTTCAAAAATTCCCTGTAAATGGCCGCCTTATCAGCAAAGTATTTTATTTATATCAGGGCGTGTCAGCACAATGTGAGATGAAGACACAAGTAACGCAGGTCCAAGACATGTATCACGTTGGTAAGCTTAGAAACAATCCGTGTTACATTGCTTTAGTTTGTTTGTTTGTTTTGTTTGTTTGTTGTTTAACGCCGGGCTCAGCAATATTCCAACTATAACACGGTGTTCTGTAAATAATCAAGACAGACAATCAGGTGATTGACAACACGAGCATCGATCTTTGCAAATTGGATTCGATGACATGCATCAACCAAGTCAGGGAGCCTGACCACCCTATCCTGTTAGTCGCCTCTTACGACAAGCTTAGTCGCCATTTACGACACGCATGGGTTGTTGAAGACCTGTTCTAACCCAGATCTTCACGAACGAGGTAATAATATCTTTATGATACAATACCGTTCGTAAAAAAATCGATGTTTAACAAGTAGGTTTACTCAGTCAAGTAATCGCGCATTAATACAAATGAATGCTTCTGTGAACCGCCCTATTTATCTGATAGTGACGGGGCACCGGTCGACCGCAATTCGGTGCCCTTGAGCACACCAGAAACCTAGGGTTGTGGGTTCGAATCCCAGAGCGCTCAAATTATGTTTCTACGTTTGTCACCATACCCGTGCTCCCGTGTTTAACCAGAGTAGGAAACATCTGATACCTGCATCACTTTGGGATTGCCTTCCACATCAAGGTGACACGCCCAGATCTAACTGGAATACTGTTCAAAGTGTGTGTGGCTGCTTGTACTAGTCCGGACTGATGCCTATTTTATAGAGCTACCCCAAGCTTATTGCTATTGGACGTGCATGCACGTGTGTGCGTGTGTGTGTGTGTGTGTGTGTGGCTGCTTGTACTAGTCCGGACTGATGCCGATTTATAGTGCCAGCTCACTGAGATACCATGCCGCAGTTTTACGTGAATACCCCACTCAGACACAGTATACTGACTTCGAGCCGACCAGTCCTTGCTTCAGCCTCTCAATGCTGAGCGCCAGGCAGGGTGACAAGTATAATCTTTTCACATCTTTTGGTATGACGCGGCCGGGGCGGACGCTCTACCACTAAACCATATAGGCGGTACCACACGTTGAGAGTGAGTGAGTGAGTGAGTTGGGTTTAACGCCGCTTTTAACAGTATCGCGGCATGTCAGTTTAATGTGTGAGGAAAGCCCCAAGTGATGCAGGTATCAGACGTTTACCACTTCGATGAAACCCACGAGCACGGGTATGGTGCTGACAAACCGAGAAACATAATCGGGGCGAACCGGGATTCGAACCCACAATCATAGGTTTCTGGCGTGCTCAAGGGACGCAACTCTGCACAGCGAATCGCGGCGCCAAAGACGACTGGGCCACCCGTGCCCCCACCCCCACACACGTTGACAAACACTTTGATGAACTTGTGAGGTAATAGTTTATTGAGCAAACAGGCATTGCATTAATGCAGGTGCTTATTAAAATTAATTCCTGTTCGGGGACCTCATTTGCATATCAATAAAGTTATTAAAAATCCTTAAGATTTGAGACGGAGCAGCTAACTACTTACGGTTTAAACATCAGCCATAATGGTTTGGACTGCCCCTTAAGCATTGGTGGTTAATCATGGCAAAAATATACAAAAATATAGAATTTTTTTTTAAGTAGTACCTATAATCAAAACTATCAAACCTAACCATTGATCTTCTGTCATTTTTTTCCCTCACTATGATTGATTGATTGATTGATTGATTAAGTGAGTGAGTGAGTGTGAGTGAGTGAGTGAGTGAGTGAGTGAGTGAGTGAGTGAGTGAGTGAGTGGGTGAGTAAGTGAGTGAGTGAGTGAGTGAGTGAGTGAGTGAGTGTGTGTGTGTGTGTGAGTGAGTGAGTATGGTTTTACGCCGCTTTTAGTAATTTTCAATGAAAATGGACTTCACCCATTGTACCCATGTGGGGGCTTTTGTTTTGACGAGCGAACGCTTTACCTGCTCTGCTACCCCACCACCCCTCATCACAATGAGAAACTGAGAACAAATGATAAAGCTTCGGTTGCCTATAAATAACATTATTTCAGAAATATCCATGTAACTATGAGAAGCCATGTAAACAGCACATGTGACGTCATCATTGGAACGCCGGAAGTTGGAGGAGTGTCCCGGATGAAGACATTGACTCGGTCCAGACTTCCGTTATTGGGCGCTGGCTGAACGTTGAGCAGTTTACACACGAGAGGGTAGATGTCCACGATCTGGATAGGATCGGACTTGAAGTCGGTCTTGAAGTTGGGCCCTCTAGCCAGGAATATTGGCTTCATTGACATCAATGCATTGTCGAAGCCGTGTGCTCCTTTATTGGTCGATGTGGCTTGTCTTGTTTTGTTCTGCGACAAAGAAATAGATTAGGTAGAGTTGTCTTTGGTAGGAGGGAAAGATGGTGAGAAAAAACCCGGCATTGTTTAAAACCATGTGTAGTGGGTATAGATCACGTGACTTCTGATTTAATCAGAAATATACTCCTGACAACTAATCAGAGAAACAATGCTATTCAGTCATGAATGTGAACTCTTCGCGGAATCGCGGAAAATCGCGTTTTTTTAAAAAACAGTAGTCCTAGGAAAAATAATCTACCGCGTAAAAATATAATCAAAGATTTAAAAGAAATATTCAGAAAAATATGATCGGGGTTCAGGACAACTATCGCGGATTGTCCTGTTTTCGATCAGAGCTTTCAGCATCATATATGCCATTATTATTATTCATGACACAATACTTTATCGTTGGATCATAGGTTTTCGGACATCATACGTTTTCTATCACGAATACTTGCACTGTAACGTTGGGTATGGCGTCACACAGAAATTGTAAGTACTCAGATGATGGCTTGTTTTTTTAAGATAAAGTTGTCTTTTAGCCTATAAGTGAATGAGATGTTTTATAGTTGTTCATGTGATTAGCGAGAAAACTATAAATGTTTCTTCAGCGTCCGAAAACCCATAACGCGGGAATATATGTTGTATTAATGTCTTATGTTTGCAATGTTGTTTTGTTTTTTGCAACAAAAGGTAAGTAAGTACAAGGTAAAATAAATAAATAAATTCAAAACATTTGCTTCATCATGGGGAAAAGGTCAGACATTGCACGCTTGAGACAGTTGTCCTTGTGTCTGGGGGATTGGGGGTGAAGTTAATGGCAGTACTGCTCCAAGACCCGGCGGGTGCGCGGAAGCTATGCCCGATTTTTAAAATTACTGATTTAACTTCGAAATTTAACTTCATCCGCCATCTTTTTTGCCATTTACTTATTACATTGCTTGGTGTGAATGTTGTCCAAACTGCACGAAATTGCTTAAAATGCAATCAAATGTTTTAAGAATGTATTCCCCCTAGATTTTTCCTTTTTTTTTTGGGTGGGGGGTGGGGGGTGGGGGGTGGGGGTGTGACCTGCTCACATCCCTGTATTCTATCAATACACTACAATCAGTATGAGGAACAGTACTCTCGTGTCCTGTTGAATTATATGTGATACATTTCCATAAACATAAACTGTTGCTCCTAGGCCCTTTTGTTCCCGAATTTGGAATGTGTTAAGAGTGAATGAGTGAGTGAGTATGGTGAGTAATGAGCTTCACACATTGTACCCATGTCGGGAATCGAACCCTGGTCTTCGGCGTGACGAGCGAACGCTTTAACCACTAGGCTACCCGACCGCCCTAAATGGGCTAAGATGGGAACAAAGTAACATTCTCAGACAAAACTTAAATGTCCCACAATATAATAAATTCCAGGTATTATGGAGTTACAGTTTGGCTGGACTAACGAGTCTATGCATAGTCCAATCAAAATCGCGAACCGAAATCGAAATCCGGTTCTTAAACTGTCGTGCAGATTTCGATCGATTGCAGGATTTGCAAAGCACGTGCACCGGCAACTCGTTGTCAGCAGATATTTTCCAAATCTTTTGATGTTTTTAATCAAGGTGCTCACGTGATATGATGCATTTCGCGATGTAAGACCCGTTTTATTTCACTATAGATCTTGATTATCGATCAGATCGTCCTGACTGGGCGCCACCATTTTGTGTGAAGCTAACGCAAGTGATACGAGAGGTGGAATCTGATCGGTCAATAGGAGAGGCTAAGAAGGGACATAACTGGTAATAGCCACTGGTGGCGCTACGATCGAGCCCAGTAATTCCAGCCTAGTCGGCAAGGGTGAAACTGGACTTTTACAGACAGTTACCTCTCTTGCCCCGGGAAGATGTGAATAGTTTGCAGTTGTTCCCACTGACCTCATATATCATAACCATTATATTTAATCAGCATTGATGAAAGAACCTGGTACAATTGACTTATTAAATAATGCCACATGTATGACCAGTTGGAGAAACTGAGACAGCAATCTGCCAAAACTCATCAATACTGTCTTTAGACTTGACTCTGAAACCTGGAGACATTTCTCTTTTGTACTGGATTCCATTGTTCAAGGAACATCCCCTCAAAGAGCGATAATATTGTATTGCCGGTTCCAGTAAATATGCCACCAAATCCCTGTCGCAAAGATTACCCATAATCCTTAATGCAATCAAGGAAGTGCTTTCTTATGCAAATTACGTGGGTAGCGGAAGCTACCGGCAGGACATGCTTTCTTCATTTCATGTCGACGATCTTTATATTTAACAACTGAGGTAGAATCAGCATGCTCTTTCTGCGAAGATTTCAAAGATCGTCATACGACTCTTGCTCAGAAGTTGTTTGATCAAGGTTACAACATTCAAGCCTCAGTAAAGCTTTTATGGTAGACACGTGGAGGACAAAACTATGATGTGCGAGGCACTTACTTATTTTTCAGGTGAACAATTGACTTGCCTTTCCGTGTGTTTGTGACGGGTACCACCCTTGCAGCAGGATACGCTCACCCTTTCGCGAACGTCTGGTATCATCACTATTTGATAGTGATTCATAAACCAATGCTTATTATAAAGTCGGAATTGTTCTTTGGACTCTGATCTATATCAGCATTTCTTATAATTATGGAAACTTATCATAAGATAACGAAACAAAATAAACATAAATGAAAAACAAATACATAAATAAATAAACATTAATGAAAAACAAATAAATAGATTTAAAGAAGAAGAAAAAGAAAAGATAAATAAGGAAAAAATATATATATACTGATTCATAAAAGTGCGTAAGGTTGTACGCCCTATCTGTTACTCAAAGTGCCCAACCTCCGTCATGATGACGGTGTTTGAATCATTCATCATCAGTGACCCACAGTGGTTATCTCCCCTGTGCTGATGGCGGTGTGTATGACCCGTCTACATGTATGACCGGTGACCCACGGTGGTTGTCTCCCCTGTGTTGATGACGTTGTGTATGACCCATCTACATGTATGACCAGTGACTTACAGTGGTTATCTCCCCTGTCTTGATGACGGTGTGTATGGCCCATCTACATGTATGGCCAGTGACTTACAGTGGTTGTCTCCCCTGTCTTGATGACGTTGTGTATGACCCATCTATATGTATGACAAGTGACCCACAGTGGTTATCTCCCCTGTGTTGATGACGTTGTGTATGACCCATCTACATGTATGACCAGTGACTTACAGCGGTTGTTTCCCCTGTCTTGATGACGGTGTGTATGACCCATCTACATGTATGACCAGTGACTTACAGTGGTTATCTCCCCTGTGTTGATGACGCTGTGTATGACCCATCTACATGTATGACCAGTGACTAACAGTGGTTGTCTCCCCTGTCTTGATGACGTTGTGTATGACCCATCTACATGTATGACCAGTGACTTACAGTGGTTGTCTCCCCTGTGTTGATGACGCTGTGTATGACACATCTATATGTATGACCGGTGACCTACAGTGGTTGTCTCCCCTGTCTTGATTGCGATGTGTATGACCCATCTACATGTATGACAAGTGACTTACAGTGGTTATCTCCCCTGTCATGATGAAGTTGTGTATGACCCATCTACATGTATGACCAGTGACTTACAGAGTTGTCTCCCCTGTCTTGATTGCGATGTGTATGACCCATCTACATGTATGACAAGTGACTTACAGTGGTTATCTCCCCTGTCATGATGACGGTGTGTGTATGACCCATCTACATGTATGACCAGTGACTTACAGTGGTTATCTGCCAACCCTCCTCTGCTATCATGACGACTGGCATGATCCTTCTGTTGTTCCGGTAATGGAGACGTTCAGGAAGATCCTCCTTCTTGTAGACTGTGATGTGTTCCACACCAGTCAGACTCTGAATAATGGCGTCGTCCTGGCCCTCTACCGGCAGAATCTGCATCACGGGGCCGTAACTCGGGACACGAGCTACCTTTGTCATGTCCACGTGATCAGTTATATCCACCACCTTACGGAATAAAATAATGATGCTAAAACCTTCAATTAAGTTCAACAGTAGAGCCTAGTATTTCTTCATCACTTAGGTAATTGATAGGTTAGCTATTTGGTTATTTGGTATTTTCTTTTACGTCAGAAGAACTATTGTCAACGCAGCGAATGTCTCAAAATTACGCTTAAGAAATTCGAATCCCAGCCTTCGGTACTACGAGCCAATGCACGTGTTCGAGAAACGGTCGGTAGCCTAAGAATTAAAGCGTTGAGAAACTATAATATCAATATAGTTGACTTTGGTCTGGTTTGTTTACTGTTTCCTTTACTGACATGTGATTTGATCATTCTTTAAAAAACCCCAGCTGCAATACTGCCAATGAAATGTAAAATGTTCACTCACTCACTCATTGTTGGGTAAAAAAGTTGAACAAAATCGTACCTTATTGATATTATCTATTTCCGCCATGCCGTGGTCACTGGTTACAATGACATTGACATCCTTTTCAAGGTCATTCTCGGCCATCTTTTGCACGAGGTAACCAAGGATATCATCCATTTCCTTGACCTTGTTTCTGACTTCCTGGGAGTTTGGGCCGAATGTGTGTCCTGTGCTGTCAGGCTCGGGGAAATACAACGTCGCCATGCTGACGTCTTTGTCCTTGAACCAGTCCACGACTGTGTCCACTCGCTCCCTGTATGGTGTACGATTGGTGTAGTTGAACCAGTAGTCAGGGCGCGCACCTTGGATTACAACCTCGCTGCCGGGCCAGAAGTACGTTGCCGTTTTCAACCCCTGATATATACAAAATTACTTCAATGTATTTTGAGTTTATGGAGGTATAAACCTAAAACTCGACGAACACACGGATTAGATCCGTAAAGTGTGCACACCGTTTTCTACATAGGTCTTCGAAAGGCATTTAGAAGTGATACACATAAGGAAGAGAATTTATGGACGTCAACTTCTATATTTATTAGGAAGAGAATTTATGGATGCCAACTTCTTTATTACGATGAACACAACGTTTCGGAGTACATGCTTACTCCTTCATCAGGTGAATGATGAAGGAGTAAGCATGTACGTCAACAAAATAACTTCACAGACTTATTGAATGACTAACACCAACAAACTGTAGACAACAATACGAAATCAGTGACATCATTGAGTGCAATAATTCACTCTTTCATAAATCTTTTTCGGTTTAAGGAAACATAGACGCAAAACAATTGCGTGGAATTTATTCATTAAAATGAGCCTTTGACGCTGTTTCGGTCATTACTTAAATAATGATGGGAAACGACAAAAAACGAGAATGTTTGTAGGAACGTATGATTAAGTATCGAGTTATTCTAGTTCCTGGACAAGAGAATTCTCGAAAATAGAGCACAGGTTTCTTCTGGGATGATATTTCGAGCTATATGTGGAGTTCAAGGTAACGAGCTTGCCCTGTAGCAGAATAGATACGATATAGCAACAGTGGTATGATTACGACACGATTTGTAAATAATTCTTTATTTGTTAAAAACGTGCCACTCAGTTTTTTTGTTTGTTGTTTAACGCCGCACTCAGCAATATTTCAGCTATATGACGGTGGTCTGTAAATAATCGAGTCTGGACCAGACAATCCAGTGATTGACATCATGAGCATCGATCCACGCAATGGGGATACGACTACATGCATCAACCAAGTCAGTGAGCCTGACCACCCGATCCCGTTAGTCGTCTCTTACGACAAGCATAGTCGCCTTTTATGGGTTGCTGAAGACCTATTCTACCCCGGATCTTCACGGGTCTGGCACTCAGTAATAGTCCAGCTACGTGGTATATTATGGTGGCGGGTAAGTGGGTGAGTTGTGTTTAACTCCGCTTTTAACAGGTGGCGGGTAAACACTGTAAGCCTTTGCCGTCAAAAATATTATAACAACGTGAAATGTTATGATGGTATAATGCCGTTTATTATTTTCGCTGTAATAATTATCCTTCTGTCCATATTCACGGCGGTCAACCGTACGTTAGGCACGAGAATTTGCAAAAGGTAAAGCCGTGCCATAGATGCATTATGGGATAGCAGTGGACGACCTCCATTTTCAAAGAGGGAATGGAAGTGCACTAGTCATCCGCAAGTAGTCAGGTAGGCCATGTGTAGGCTATGCGTAAGCTATGTGTAGTGAAAGTAGCGTTCCATCGGCTCTAATCACACTTACAATGCACATCGACAGTAATAATGTGTTTGTGCCGCAAGGGGAATCATTTGCCAGCGTTGATCGGCACTGCTTGTTTGACATAGTCAGTTTTCAACATGACACGTTGACCCAGTGACCTTATACCGGTTTTATGAACCTAATGCTAAACTTATGACAAACATGTGTCATAACACACTACAATGTCTCATAATCCAAAAGGAATGACCCATGAGTGAGTGAGTGAGTGATCATAGGTTTCTGGCTCGCCAAGGGACGCAACTCTGCACAGCGAATCGCGGCGCCTTAGACGACTGGGCCACCCGTGCCCCCGAATGGCCCGTGTATTTTAATCCAAAGGTATGATTATTATAAAGGAAACGCTATTTTTCAGGGCATTATCATTTGCAGAAGCCCGAGGTCTTCCATTAACTGCCCGACGAAGGAGGGCAGTTGAAAAGACCGAGGGCTTCTACAAATGATAATGCCTTGAAAAAGAGCGTTACCGTTGTTTAAGCTAAAATGGATGGAATTTGTTATCAAATAAAAAGAAACAACAATATCGGTTTTGAAACATTTACTGCAATAAACACGAATGACACTGACCCACTTTTACAAATATGGAAACGTCATAGAACAAACCAGATGACGTCACTATTGAACGTGACGTCACTTATCCCTATCCTATGACGTCACCTAACAACGGGCTTGATAATGGCCCGCCGTCAAGGAATATGAGGGCATTATCAAGTACAGTGGCCCGCTCATTTTTGATAACATACGGGCGGTTTAATGATAATTCTCTCCATTTTAGCTATAATTTCTGATAACATGCGGGGGTTTTAATGATAATTCTATCCATTTTAGCTATAAAATGCAATATTGGCGTTTATCGGGTAGAGTCTATAATAAAGAATCTGTCTGGAATCCCCGTGGGCGACGACGCGTTTGTACAAACCGTAGACAACGCCAAAGGGTGTTGGTTCCAATACATGACGACACAGAAACATCAGTGATGTTGACCAATGCTTAAAGACATATATAACATGACTACACCACCTGTTTCTTGGCTGTGATCCACAACGGTTCTCCCCCATTCCACCAACGGGTCTCGTGCGTCCGCTTGTTGAAGGTGGAGTCGAACTCAGGGTCGTACATGTAGTTAGCGACGATGCCGTGACTCTCCTCCCACAGACCTGAAAGACAATGCTTAGGGGATGGGGTTTTCCAACGGTAAAACTCCCTTAATCGAAATAAGTGTCCCAAGTGAAAATACCGGAAAAAACGAATATCTGGATGAACGTTTCATTGGTAAGTGAATTGCGTGGATCAATGCTCATGATGTCAATCACTGGACAGTCTGGTCCAGACCAAATTATTTACAGACCGCCGTCATAAAGATGGAATATTGCTGAGTGCGGTGTTAAACAACAAACAAACAAAACAAACATTGGTAAGTAGTAGTGTCCCTTTAACTATATAGCATCGTCTCCGTGGTGTTGTGAGAGAGCGTCTGCCCGGAACGAACGGAAGGTCGGCTTCGATCCCCGGCCGCGTCATACCATATGACGTAACAAACGATAGTTGTTACCCTGCCTAGCGCTCGGTATTGGGGGTATAAGACAAGTTCGGAATGCGGACTTTCCGGATATAGGAAATCCTAACTTAATTCGTTTCGTTGTTGCATTGGGGCGTTAATATACTATTGAAAAGAGCTTTTGCTTTGCGTTTCAAGATAAAAAATTAGTCACCATGTTGTTTACGAATCGGATGTCGATTCCGTGACGATTTTGATCGGACTATGAATGACTCGTCAGTCCAGTCAAAATATAACTGAGAAATTCCATCCTAGTTCGGCAAGGGTTGAAAATGGACCTTTTATAGTCAGTTAACTCCCTTGTCTCGGGAAGATGGGTTGAAACTGTCTTCCGAAGTGTTTTGACTAGTTATAAAGTATCTCGCGAAGTAAAAACGGATTATGTCCGGTTTGGTGTGCCATATACCTCTCTTCTCGCGGTGCGTGTTTGTTCAACGACCACACCACGTCCGCTGCGCTGCAAACACCGCCTGGTTTGTTTACGGAAGACCGACACATGAGGTGATGAACGATCTCCTTTATATATGGGTCGGCTGATGTTTTTATATATCATACGTATGTATACGTGTAATGTTTTTATTGTCTATAAACATCAGGTGGCACTGTAATAACATATTTTTCTTCTTCTTCTTCTTCTTCTTCTTCTTCTTCTTCTTCTATAACAGAATGTTGCCTCTCCGTGTTCTCAACAAGCAGGAGTAGCGAGTCCAGGCTAATTATTTGGTGAAATGTCAATACTCTTTGAACCGGATACAGTGCAAGGTTATCACTGATGAACACACTGAGAGTAATGGACATGACAGTGTTAACCCTATCGCCTGAGTTGACCCCGCCCCTTCAAACCCCAGGAAAATTAGTCATCCTCATCACAATTGTTTTCACCTAATGTAGTTCTAATACCGTGATATGTTACAATTTAGAGATGTTTTCCATAATTATTAAGGTAAAATGTTTTTGGCCCTAAATGCCTGTATCGTTGGGTCTCTATACATATCTTAGATGATGATGATTATTATTATTTACACAGATTAAAAAAAAATCATGCAGCAAAGAGGGTTTGGGTGATCCTGGCACTTTGAGGCTGGTTAGGCTCACCATCAGCCCAGGGCCCTTTCCCCCTCTACACGCAGCCCAGACGTAGACTAACATTTAGTCTCTAAAATCTTATATTACACAATATCCACCCTTTTAAAAAAAAATCAAAAAATTCCCTATGCTGATTTCAGATTTTCGAAACCCAGGTCCGAATATTTGCCATGTTTTTCTTGAATCGTGTAAACACATTAGTGTCAAAAGGGACAGAAAATTCAATAATATCACAATCTCATTAAAATCATATCTTAGTTCTCGCTGCCGCTAAACAAAGATCTGAGCTCATCCCATTACTAGTCACGTCAGCGCGACCTTTCGCGAACTTTGACCGACCACTGAAACGACTTACAAGAAGTCGACATCAGCCAATTAGAAAGCAGTTTTCTCGAGCTTTACGGCACTCGTTTCAACCTGGCGACTTCCATTTCAGACTACGCTTAAAAAATATGTTGACTCAGTTCTCGATTAAAATTTTGAAAACTGAACAAACGAAAATTCCGGAATGTCAAATATATGGTTGAGATTGTGTGGCAGTGCTTCCCACGTACTGTGCAACGCCTCCCCCGTTCAAATGTTTATCCCACCGAAGCTAGAGATAGACGATAATTACGACGGAATCAGTCGTACGGGCCGGAACTGTCGTTCGGAATACCCCGTATTAACGATTTCGAGGTTGCATGATTAGAAATCACATTCCGACTGTCACTTTCATGATCTGGTAAGCGACGCTTTGATTGGTCGGATGAAAGGTCGTTCTTACGTGACCCGTAATGGGATGCCCTCAGATCTTTGTTTAGCGATAGCGAGAACAAAGATCTGATTTTAATGAGATTTCCCTGGCTATGTCTGAGGCTTTATACGGACCTATTCCAAAGAATTATTATTATGATGACACGTGGACCTGTATACAGCCACCATATTTCCTGAGAGTCTCCAAGGATTCGGTCCTGCCCACACTTGGTGTCTCCTTAAACAGCGAATGACCGGTAGGATGAGATGGTACTGTGATTGTTAACCTTCTAACGCCTCGTGATCTAGCTTTGGTCATATACTCTCCAGGAGGAGTGAGAATGAAATTCGAGTGCCCACTGATCCATTGACCGGAGGAATAATACTGGTCTTTCAACACTTTATCCAGCATTGACCTACTACTACTACTACTACTACTACTACTACTACTAATACTACTACTACTACTATAATTAAGTAATTCATTGACAGGTGTCGAAGGGTTAATTGTTTTTATGCAAAACTTTGTTTGTTTTTTGTTTAACGCCGCACTCAGCAATATTCCAGCTAGATGGCGGCAGTCTGTAAATAATCGAGTATGTGTCAGACAATCCAGTGATTGATATCATGAGCATCATGGTCTATGCTAAACAGGGTTGTTTACTGTTAGATGAGCTATATCTCGGCTACCTGTAAATAAGAAGCATAATGGTTGTACTGAATATAATATATATAAGTTGATGATCATTGTCATGATAAATATTGATAACAATGTAATGATCAGTGATAAAATAAAAATGTACCAGTCGCCATGGTGTAATGGTTTGGAAACGTCTTCGTCACGAAACTGCTGTTCATGTACGGAAGCTTCACGCCGTGCCTGGCGAAGTCGTCAAAGTTGGGGGTGTCCACCATGTCCAGGTAGTCGTACCGGAAGCCGTCCATGGAGACGAGAAGTAGCTTCCCGGTGTAGTCCGCCATGACAGACACCACCAGACCCGCCAGGAGCAGGAGGAAGATGGAGGAGGACATTGTGCCTGGATCAACGGATGAAACTGTTATAGCGACGGTGATGGACAGATGTTTATGGCCTTGATGGTAGGAGGTGAAATCTATGGTGGCCGAGAGGGGACATCGCTTTATCGTAAACTCGTGGCCGTAATTGAAGTCGATAAAGCGATGTCCCTTCTCGGCCACCATAGATATACGTATAATAAGCGGCTGTGTCCATTGAAATCACAAGCACACTTGATGTGAACTGAGTATAGAAACAAGAACACGTTTTACCTGAAGTCGCCGCTCCTGACAAGATCGTGCGTGCTCCCACAAAAGCGATTCCAATTACTTTAATAGCACAGCCAGGTGCACATGTATCGAGGGCGCTATGGCAGGACATGGGGTTTCGCAGGGAGTTTATATAAGCTTAAACATTTCCTGAGTCATGTAAGTTAAATATAGAATTGTGTAGTCAATAGAAATTAGGACCCGTGAAGATACGTGGTAGAATAAGTCTTCAGCAACCCATGCTGTTGATATGATTGGTTTAACTGTGATACCAGAATGTGTTTCTTTCCGCATTGTGTACTTTCACATGTGCTCTTTTGAATTCCATTTTTATATGTAACTCTGTTGTTGTAGTTAACAGATAAAGAAACGTCGTATTTTTGGATTATTAGGACATAATTGTGCATGATCAAAATTGTAATTTTTCTTCATGAATATGTATTATAGACTTTACAAACAGCCAGTTTATGACATTCAACTGATAATACCGGTTGCGTTCGGTGTAACAGTTGTGAACCTTGGGAACTGTGAGATGCCCGTGGGAGCAAGTTGCAAGTGATGCACAGGAAAATTGAAATGCACGTGAAACATGTGCCAGGGTTCTGTATAAGAACCACCTGACACCTACTGGGAATTCAGTTGCTTTGTGAAGACAGCGACCATGCCACGACTATTCTCCCAACAACGTGAACAAGCCATCGGACGATTAAATGCCGGACAACGTACCCAAGTCATTGCCAATGCTTTTAACTGCAGTGTACGAACCATTGAAAGACTTCGGATTCGTTACAACACCACCAACAGCACTAATGACCGTCCACGCAGTGGTCGTCGCCGAGTCACAACACCAAGACAAGATTGCTTCATCCTGCGGCAACATCTGCAGGACAGATTCACCACAGCAGCACAGACAGCTCGTCAGACCATTGGCAACCATCAGCGACCCATCAGTCCTGACACTGTTCGAAATCGGCTCGCCTCCCAGAACCTTGTTGCCGTCCACACAGGGGTCCAGTGCTCACTCCTCATCATCGTCAGCAACGTCTTGCGTGGGCCACCCAACGACAACATTGGCGGCATCAGCTGTGGATGACCCACGTGTTCTCAGATGAGAGTCGGTACTGCATTTCCACCGCAGATGGCAGAGTACGAGTGTGGCGAAGGAGAGGTGAACGTTTTACAGAACAGTGTGTGGTTGAAAGAGACCCGTGGGGAGGACCAAGCATTATGGTATGCTGTGCAATCGACATCAATCAGAAACTTTGACCTGTTGTCTTCCAGAATATTGGCCCAGGCAGAAACTATGGAATCACAGCCGCCCGTTACATCGACCAGGTTCTCCGACCCCACGTTGTACCTCATTTTGCAAGACTCCGAAACCACACCTTCCAGCATGACAACGCCCGTCCACACACTGCCATAGCCACCATGACCACCCTCCAACAGCATAACATCAGTGTAATGCCATCGCCTTCACTCAGCCCGGGCTTAAACCCAATTGAACACTTGTGGGATGACATCCAAAGACGACTGAACCAGATCCAACCGCGTCCAAGAAATGCAGCAGAACTCAGTGCGGCTTTCCTCAGGGTCTGGGCGCAGATTCCAATGGCGTCTGTAAACCGTTTGTGCCACTCCATGTACAGAAGATGCTGGGCCGTTATCAACGCACAAGGTGGACACACCAGGTACTGACTTTCAGCCTCCATAACATTAAAAACACCCGTTTAGACATAAAAATGTAATTTCTCATTCGTGTCCATCTGCCCAATAGGATTCATCTTTGAATAAAAATTCTAAAATCTTCACTTATATTTCAGTTGGCAGTACATTTAAAGTTACAAATCTGGTATCTTCCATCTTGTTTTCTCTCTCCCACTCTCCCTCTCTCTGTGTTTTTTAACAATGCTCTTTATTTATTCGTGCAAGCACACACACACGTTAATATTACAAAGACGGATATACGTTGTTACAGGTAGATGTGACTGAGCTTGATCCTCGTGGGGTTGGGGTTAACGATTGGATGGGAGTCAGTTTCTAAAATAAAGTTTTAAAATGGATGGATCTTTACACGTCTTTACACCTGGAGGTGACTTTAACACTTGGCACGTTTGTTTTCTTCCTTTCGTTTTTTTTTCACTGTCCACTTTGAGATGACGTGCAACATGGTAAACTACAAGTATCTTTTTTTTATCCTTTTATATTTAAAAAACAACAACAACAAAAACAACGGCAACTCTGTAATCCACGATTGTTCTTAATAATACATATCAATTTAGACAAAGAAAACGCTTATTAACCATTCAATCACGTACATTTATTGATTCTGTGGAATCAAACAAACTAAAAGTTATCATAAGGGTTACCAAGGGTGACCAAGGGTTAGAAGGTTGATGCAGGAATAAAACAACCAGCACATCCGGTCAGATGATTTTCTTTGTTTGTTTGGGTGTTGTTGTTTTTCACTGACCCACTCTCACATCGTGTACATGCTCTTTCGAAAACACTTACAGCCATTAAATCACGTACATGAGTGTTTCCGATTCGTAGTAAAGTCCAGAACGTGATATAGTTGCAGAAAATAACTTGAATATATATACATCGTGTACTAACAGGTGGTCGGAACGTTATACATTAACAATAGCTTCAATTTCAATCACTTTGTTGAACAATAGAAGGCGGCCAGAACGTGATGTTCGAACTCGCATCAAAAGCCAATAGAACAATAGACAACATTGTTCAAGGACAATAGATACCTTTGTTCAAGAACAATAGATAAACAATAGCATACTAATCCGTTTCTCACCGGATTTGTAGTTATTACTTATCTTCTACTTAGATACTTTGTTACACTCTGTTAAAAGAAACAATTAGGAGATAAACCGATTGTGTTTTGAAATTTGATGTAGTCCCCCTGTAGAATAGATACCTCTTTATTTATATAGAGGTACCTATTCTACAGTGGGACTACATCAATTTTCAAAACACAGTAGGTTTATCTCCTAACTGTTTCTTTTAACAGAGTGTAACAAAGTCTCTATCATGATTGAGAATTATTTGTGATTCGCTTTCTTGGTCTACCATGACGGCAACAACGCTTTGAAAACGGCGCTCTCTTGCAACGCGTAATAACACTGGTGCACATGTCCGCAATCTTAGAACATTCCGAAAAGTGGTCACAGGTAGTTATATATGTAACAGTTATTACTAAAGTTCAAGATTACAAAACACCATAGTCGTGAGTAGTTCATAATAAGTGTTCAAAACACATAGTTTTTCAAAAGAAGTTGACAAATAACACTCCAAACTTAGTCCAAAGAGAGATGTTTTAACTTCTACGAAACTGTTGTACACTGTTGTACGCTGTGGACTGACTGTCATTTCTCGGAATTTTGTGCGAGAGGTCATTTCTTGGAAATCGAACATGCCATCATTTCTATTGTAGGGGTGACGGGTAATAGAAAAAGGTTTAAAAATGCTAAACGAATATATTTTCTACAGCAAACTTTATGAATTAACATTCTCTTATAAACTGACGTCCAAAAAAAACTTGGCAACTCGAAAAATGAAATTATCGAAATACAGATACTTTCACCCAAACGCAACCAAGCCAAAACCAGTCGCCTAAACCCATCGAATAAAAACTCGTGCAATTACTGAAGTGTAGTGCACGTGTTGTTGTGGGAAAGTGATTTTGGAAGTAAAATCATTATTCGCGTTTTTTAAAATTGCACGTGAACAATCGCTATAAAAACTGCGAAGTTTATCTCTTAGAGATGCAGTATGAAGAAAAAAACACCAAAGAAATGCCCAGGTTAACACAAGAACAGCGTGAGAGGGCTATAGGAATGCTGCAAATGGGGGCAACACAGTCGCGTGTTGCAAGAACATTCAACTGCTCCCGTAATACCGTTGTCAACTTGGTCCAGCGATTGAGAGTAACAGGTCGCACATCAGACAGGCCAAGAACAGGCAGACCAAGGGTGACCACGACCCATGAAGATCTCTACTACGCACATTGCACCTGCGTAATCGATTCCTACCTGTGACGTCATCGGCAGCGAATGCGTTGGGTCGTGTGATCAGCAGGCAGACAATAGCCAGAAGACTAAGGGCAGCAGGGATCAGAGCCTATAGACCTTACAGAGGGCAACTGTTGACGAATGAACATCGTCGTCGAAGACTGAGATGGGCGCGAACAGTTAGGCGTTGGCAACGACGTGATTGGCAGCGTGTCCTCTTCACTGACGAGAGTAGGTTCTGTATGTTCCATTCTGATGGCAGACACCGCGTGTATCGTCGAAGAGGCGAACATACTGCTCGTTGTTGTGTCGAAGAGGTCGTACCCTTCGGTGGTATGAGTGTCATGGTGTGGGGTGGCATTTGTGCTGATGAGAGGACGCCATTGGTCATCATTAACGGTAACCTGAATGCCGTACGTTACAGGGATGAGGTTTTACGTGTTGTTGTGCTTCCATTTCTTCGTCAACAACCACAGGGTATTGTGTTCCAGCATGTCAATGCTAGGCCACATACTGCTAACATCGTGCAAAACTTTCTTAATGTCAACAATTTCCATGTGTTGCCCTGGCCAGCTCGTTCACCAGACCATAATCCCATAGAGCACCTTTGGGATTTCATGGACAGGCAAATTCGACGACGACAACAACCCCCAACCACCAGGAATGAACTCATCCAAGCCCTCCCCGAAGAATGGCGACGCATCCCATGTGACGTCATCAGGCGACTGACAAATTCAGTTCGTAGGAGAGTGTTTGCCTGCATTCAAGCCAATGGAGGTCACACACGCTACTAGGGTGACACAAACACCATCTGTAGTCATTTTGTGCCGAGCTAGTCATTTGCACGTGTAATGAAAAACTGTTTTGCAAACCCCACCTGAACATTACCAGCCTTATTTAATTCGCTTGTCATGTTATAGTTATGACTTTATGCCTAAGGTTGTGGTAAATATTCATGTTTACAATACAGTTTATTCTGATCGTTTATGTTTTGGTGTTGTTTCGCTATCGAACTTCAAACAGGCTGCCAAGTTTCTTTTGGTCGGTAGTTTACATTTAACATGTGTAAGTGTTATCTGTTAGTTAGCAATTACCCCAAGTAAACAATAATACAATCAAAATAAATGCCTCTCCACCCCGAACTTGGATTTGGCAGAACTTGACCTACATCACGGTTACTCACACCCCGCAGCTGTCAATGGCTGACAATCTGTGTTTACATTCTCCATAACGAGTTATAGAATGAAGCAAGATGACAACCCCGATCTATGATGTGGTTCAACATTAATAGGTAGATTATCTTGGATTGATCGAGCCTGCTGGTACATCCATATGATGACAAGTATGACTGAACAGCCGCTTTTTTGGCTGCAGACGAGCCGTATATTTTGAAATAGTGGATCGTGTATGATTTTCGTAATTGTGCGTGTTCTGAAATAAATTTCATCAAGTTTGATAAGCTATCACTTCAGTTGTTTTCGTGTTTTCGTGGACTTTCGAAGGGGAATGTTTTCTGTGGACATTCAAATCCCCTCCTGCCAAATTCTAACGGTGGTGGTTGACGGAGATGGCAACGAATATCGATCAGAAAAAGGTTTGTAAACAATATGTTGTCATGAATAAAGTTTTTTCAAACAATTTTTATAATGTTATATTTTACTTTCATTTTCGGTTGTTTCAATGAGGAAATAGCTTAAATTTTTCCGATTCTGGTAACCATAGAACATTTCTCTAACAGTTTCATAAACATTTCATTTGTATGCAAAAGAATTGCCTTTGTTTAATCTTTTAATGTCATCATCGAAGCAGTCAGGGTTGCGGCCTGGAACGCCCCGAACAGCCAATATCAAACTACCGTATTTCCTCTATTTGACGCTACACCGTCTATTAATTTCGCGAGAGCCCTTGACTCGGCGTGTATTAGAGACCTGGCTGGTATTAGAGACCAGCCGTGTATTAGAAGAAATATATACTGAGAGGCATTAGAAACGCATACTCAATTTTAAGATATATTTTTTTAAGAACATATGAGGTCCGTTTACATTTTACCTTGTTGACACTGTCCATTGTTGGTTATTACTGTAAACATGTCATATGGGTTGCAAACAAAAGCTGTTTCTAGAAACGAACCTGAACCTGCACACTGATAAGTTTAGGACCCGGAAACGTCATATGGACTTCTATATGCCATCCTCTGGCTGTGTTTAAACTGCACCTGAAGTTCAAGTGGGAACTATTATCAATCTTAGAGGTGAGGCTCTCATGAAAGCTTGTGAACATTTTGAATGGGGTGAAAGAATTAACATAAGGTCTTCGTGCACGTGCAAGTCCACTTTCTCGTAGGCGATTTCGTATTGTCTGTGAGGACCTGGGACATTTCCTGCGGCTTCAGTTGCTGGGACCGACCTGCTGCGAAGATGGAACAACCGGATGTAATGATTCTACGCCTCAGTTGTGACCTTTGGCCTACTAGTTCGAGGTCGCGAGTGGATCCAAGTTGCTGGTAACACCTCCAGAGGCGTGAAACATTTAAATGACGTGCAACGGATGATTGTGATTCTCCGGCCTCTGGACGTTCAATGGCGACAATTTTTGGACTTCTACACACAATCTTGGCACATCGAATGTTTCGGAACAAAACACACATTAAGGCGAATGCTATGTCATCCCTGTATCGGTGTTTATACCCCTCATCTGGGAGCACAACTACCCAAATTTTCGCGTGCATCATGCACCGAGATCCTTTTCCACGTGAAATGTTCGTGCATTTGAAAAAATGACGTGTTTAGGGTTAATGCTTCATCAGGTGGAGTGTTTTAGTGATTGGTTACAATTATAAACTTACATTCAGTGTGATTTGTGGTTGAAAACAATTATTCATCGTATCAATTTACATGAACTAAATTCAACATTTATATTTCACATGTGCGTTTCTTTTTCGAGAGAGTATATGTGTACGACCAATCACCAGTGAACTGAACCAGCTGTCGCCGGATCTTGTGATTGTCCATGCCAAGCCAAGACATCCACTGACGCTAAGGCCTGCATCACTTGGGGCTCTCCTCCCACATCCCAGGCAGAACCAGGGGGAGGGGTCCAGGGGACACAATATTTAAAAACAAAATGTAATATGTTCTAGGCAGTAAAGGGGCGGTCGGGTAGCCTAGTGGTTAAAGCGTTCGCTCGTCACGCCGAAGAACCGGGCTCGATTCCCGACATGGGTACAATGTGTGAAGCCCATTTCTGGTGTCCCCCGCCATGATATTGCTTGAGTATTGCTAAAAGCGGCGTAAAAATCATAATTACTCACTCACTCACTAGGCAGTAAAATCTTTTTTTCCCCAGAGGATTTTGATATTTCAAAAATGCTGGATCCGCCCTAGGACACCAAGCTGACGCCGTGATATAACGTGAATAGTGGTTAAGGGGCTTTAAATCCAATTCAGTTTTACTCTTTGAAAGTCGTGCCCTCCTCGCTTGTTGTGCAACATTTTTAAACGAAGCAAAGGGTGCGTGATGTCTCCCCGTCATTAATGCTCATTTTGTCGACAGATTTGATTTATATTTTATCTTTTGATTGTAAATAAAACCGTCAAACCCCTTTCCATATTCATAAGAAATCTCTGCTGAAAGCACGATTCCGACTCTATCATAAGCATGTGCCAATGTGCGACTGATGCGTAAAATGTGTTACTGTCCGCTGCATGATTACCATAAGACGTTTTTGGATGTTGTAACCTTGATCAAACAGATTTTGAGCATGTGTCGTTACAAATGAATAATCTCTTCATACACACCGTCTCGAAAATACCCAACCAATTGTCTTGCAATTACATCTTGACATGGATATCCAAATTGAAGGTTAATATTGTTAAATCTTCATCGTTTGGGTAGGGGATACAGTTACAACAAGCTGTTGTGTATGCATTGATCTGCTATTCAGTGTTACCTGGAGTGTGTAATAGATGAATACTGGACAAATATTGTGTCCACCCAACACAAAGAAAATTTAACATACTCATGTATGCTTCAAACGAAACAGTTATAAGGGACCTAGCTACCTTTATTTACCATGCAATGTATGTTTTTTATTAATATATGTTTACGTATATTTAGTATGATCTGAATGCCCCATGCTGTGTTATACTCTAAAAGGGGGTGGTCGGGTAGTCTAGTGGTTAAAGCGTTCGCTCGTCACGCTGAAGACCCGGGTTCGATTCCCGACATGAGTACTATTTGTGAAGCCCATTTCTGGTGTCCCTGGTGATATTGCTGGAATACTGCTAAAAGCGGAGTAAAATCAAGCTCACTCACTCATTATAATCTATAACTGGACTAAATTTAAGGTGAACCTGAGTAACTATGTAAAATTATAAGCAACAAAACCCGTTCCATATTCATAAAAGCAGTATGTAATAAAAGCTGAGTCCGTTGTTTGACTCCCGACTATATCAAAAGCATGTGTTCATGAACCATTATCAACTAATGATGACACAATGTGTTCGCGAAAGGATGAACACATCCTGCTCCACCTATGGCTGGTTTTGCAAAACAGTAACTGTCCATCCAGTTTATGGACTAAATATGACATGCAAAAAAAACATTTGTTTTAACATTTATTAAATTTTATTTGGATAGTAATGTTAACACAAAATAGTTGGCACATCCCAACCAAAACATGCCATATTCCTGAATAAAGGTGAGCTTCTGTACTTGTAGGTTCTCTGGTTTAACAAAGATATCCAAAGATAAATGAAATCTAAATCAGCCGATAGGTTCTGTTTATACTGAATGGTACGGTGTTGTTCAATTTGCTTGATTGTTATTGAGTGAGTTTCCTTTTCTATTTAGAGACAGCCCCACCTCTTACACAAGTCTTCACGGCTCACTGACAGCCTCGTGGTCCAGTGGATAGACTGTCTGCCGGAGAGCGGAAGGTCGGTGGTTCGATCCCCTCCTGTGAAACCTGAAGACGCTGAAAGATGGAGCTCGTCATTTAGGGGATAAAACAAGGACTGGTCAGTATACTGTGTCTGTGTGGGGTACTCATGTTAAACTGCGGCATGGTATCTCAGTTGGCTTGCCCTATAAAACCGACATTACACAGGACTAGAACAAGCAGCCTACCCCAAACACATACTAGATCATAGTTCGATTTCTCACATTTGTATAATGTGTGAAGCCCATTTCAGGTGTCTCCCGAATTGATAGTGCTAAAAGCGGCGTAAAACTATACTCACTCACTCAGCTGTTAGCAAATGAGTGTATGAGGGAGTTAAAATTTAATGTCGTATCGCCATTAATTCAGCCATATAGCGACGAGCAAATGAGTATGTGAACAATTAGATGACTACGTTTCTGAAAATAAGAGAAAGTAGGAAAACCCCAATATGATACTTTCAACATCAATTATCAAAATACCATTTACATCGAAATCACATGTGCAAAACCTTGAAAACTGAAATATGAAAAAAATATTAACTTATAATGTTCGGTTGTTTCCTATACTGGAGGACTGGTACCAGAAGCAATGGGGTAGATCGGAGTGTCCCGAAGGAAGACGTCGACGCGGTCCAGACTTCCGTTGTTGGGCGCTGGGTGAATGTTGAGCAGTTTACATGCAAGAGGGTAGATGTCGACATTCAGGATAGGAGCCGAGGTGAAGTTGGTCTTGAAGTTTGGTCCTTTAGCCAGGAATATAGGCTTCATAGACATCAGTGTGTTGTCGAAGCCGTGGGTGGCTTTGGAAGTATCCCTTGCCTGTTTAGTTCTGTCCTGCAAAGTATCAATCAATCTTAATAAATAACTGTGTCCATATACATCAATATATATCATAATTGTAACGGGGGCGGCGGGGTAGCCTAGTGGTTAAAGCGTTCGCCCGTCACACCGAAAACCCGGGTTCGACTCCCCACATAGGTGCACGGCCTATTTCCGGTATCCCCCGCCGTGATACTGCTGGAATATTGCTAAATGCGGCGTAAAACTATCCTCATTCACTCACTCATAATTGTAACTCTGGAATTGTTGTACGGCTTATTTATCATCAGTGACGTACATTGGTGATCAACCTTGCCAAGATAATGGTGTATTATCTTCCCTGCTACGATGACGATCAGGCTACTCACAGCGATAGCCCGTTCGCGGAGCTCTCTATACTATCGCTGCCACCAGTCAAAACTTCCCACTGTGATAGGTGGCCCAAACCATGGTTGGAGTTGAACTGGCAGCCGAATGACCGTTATGTTTACAAACAAGTGACGACTGTCGTGACGCCGAATGCATACCCCTGCTAAATTACTTTCTTTGTTTGTCAATTTGAATTTCTATTTCATTAAAACTATAAAGTTATGCCCCATGTTATTGATATAGTAAGAATGTAAGGGAGAAGTTGGTTGATTTTCCGTTCGTCTGCAATCTGGAACCAATCTGATTATACAAACAACAAAGTAAATTCATCTGGAAAACATGGTCAGTAAACCTTTTCAAAATTCACTATGATGGCATATTCCCAAAGACATAAACAAAAGTATGAACGTGCCTACATTTTGGGTTAGAGGCCAAATTTCAAGATTCTTGTAATGGCCGCGCCCACACTGATGGCAGCGATGCTACTGAGAGTGTAACGAAGGTGTCACGCGCTGGGAAGGAGCTTGGATGACGATGTGCATGACCCACCTATCATCAGTGAACCACAATGGTTATCTCCCCTGTCCATCAATGACGAACAAGCTCCTTCCCAGCGCTTGACACCTCCCGATATTACATCGCTGTCATCGGTGTACAATCGGCCATTACAGACGGACAGACGGACAGACAGACAGACATATTTATTTTGTATGTATGTGGCCACGAGGCCAATAGTACAATAACATTTTGTTGTAGGTATATTCGTATGTGTACAATCGGCCATTACAGACGGACAGACAGACAGACAGATTTATTTTGTATGTATGTGGCCACGAGGCCAATAGTACAATAACATTTTGTTGTAGGTATAGTCGTCTTGGAGCTGCTTTTGTATGTTGGATCTGAATAGATACACACATTTGAGTTTTATTACTATTTAATGTATCATCATTTAAAAATATTTTCTGGACAAAAAATGTAAATGAAAAAGGCTAGTTTTGCTCTTTATTATCTGTACAAGTTTTCTTTGTGTTGGATACAGGTAATACTAGGTAGGTACAAGCATTTGATTCTTGTACCTTCATATACTGGACATATCAATAACACATGATATTCACCTTATTGGTAATATCGATGGGACACATCGATGTTTAAAAATATCATTATCGCTGGAATGTCTGTATAAATGTATATACAACATCTGCACTTCGTCCAACATCTGCGTAAACATATAGAATGAATAGTTGTAAATACTTCTCTGGTATTATTTCCATCTTAAACAGGGAATAGACAGGTTGCGATTTTGAACACGTGATATCAGCTGATCAGTCTTGGTAATACATATCTTCACATCGTTGCTTGAACATTTTTTTAAGAACACGTTTTCAGGGATATCCACGCATGTGCAAATACATGTACAAAGAGAATTATTCATAAGCTAGGGCCCCGTTTATGTCCCAAGGGTCACCAAGGTGTTTAGGTATGTAATAGCATCATCTAGAGTATCTTGTATCTGGTTGTGTAAACAAAGATCCAGTTTTGACAACTCTCCACTGACAGTTTGCAAATATCGGATACCTTCCACGTTATGCTAAAATTGCCCTATTTGATGACCAGTAGCCGCCGCCAAGAACAAACATTGCAAACTTTCGTGTGAATTTTCTCAATACTCTGGCGATATAAGGTTCCGAGCCGTACATCAGTATCAACGATCTTAAACAGTCATATAACTGGTATATTTGTAAATTTACTTATAAACTACTTTGCTGAATAAATTCTTTAGCTGCTTGCCTTGAAAGTACTTCACATACTTTGTCAATAAATTTCAACATCTATCTTTTCTGTAAATTTAGACCACTTTCTGCAAATATATAATCATCCGCAAATAGTAAACTCGATAATGCCGATAATGTACAACTTCTTCTACAAAAATTCGAGTGTTCACGATATCATTCACAATCGGCAATTACAAGAATCTTGACATTTGCCTCTGAACCCCAAATGTTGTGACAATTCAATTTTTTGTTTGTCTTTTTGGAATGCCATCATTGTGAAACTTGTAAAAGTCTACGACTACTTCCCAGTCGGATTGACGTTTTATTTGTATAATCAGACTGCTTCGTGATTACAGACAAACGGAAAAGCAATCACCTTACATTCTTACTGTACCACTTGAATTACTTCATCGTTGAGACCCGTGAAGATTCCGGGGTAGGATAGGTCTTCAGCAACCCATGCTTGCCGTAAAAGGCGACTATGCTTGTCGTAAAAGGCGACTAACGGGATCGGGTTGTCAGGCTCGCTGACTTGGTTGATACATGCCATCGATCCCAATTGCGTGTGTCGATGCTCATGGTGTCAATCACTGGATTGTCTGGCCCAGACTCGATTATTTTACAGACCGCCGTCATATAGCTGGAATATTGCTGAGTGCGGCGTTAAACAACAAACAAACAAACAAACTTCATAGTTGAAATGAAATAGAAATTCAGATTGACAAACAAACAAAATAATTCAGCTGGAGACAGAGAACTCGGCTTCACGACAGTCATCAATTGTTCGTAAAGACAAGGGTCAGCCGGTTGTCGCGAGTGAACTCCATGCATGGTTAAAGGCCGCCTAGCACAGTGTGGAGCTGTGACTGGTGGCAGGGATAGTATAGAGAGCTCCGTTCACGGGCTTTCGCTGTGAGGATGACGATGTGTTGGACCCATATGCTTTTGTCATCCGAGAATAACAGAATCGTACAATGAGCTTTTAGTTCTTTGATGATTAAAGTGGTTTCTGTCACTTTTATTTACAGTAGTTATCTGCCAACCCTCCTCTGCTACGATGGCAGTACAGTGTGTATGACCCATCTACATGTATGACCAGTGACTTACAATGGTTATCTCCCCTGTCTTGATGACGATGTGTATGACCCATCAACATGCATGACAAGTGACTTACAGTGGTTATCTCCCCTGTCTTGATGACGATGTGTATGACCCATCTACATGTATGACCAGTAACGTACAGTGGTTATCTCCCCTGTCTTGATGACGTTGTGTATGACCCATCTACATGTATGACCAGTGACTTACAATGGTTATCTCCCCTGTCTTGATGACGTTGTGTATGACCCATCTACATGTATGACCAGTGACTTACAGTGGTTATCTCCCCTGTCTTGATGACGTTGTGTATGACCCATCTACATGTATGACCAGTGACTTACAGTGGTTATCTGCCAACCCTCCTCTGCTATGATGACGACTGGCATGATCCTTCTGTTGTTCCGGTAATGGAGACGTTCAGGAAGATCCTCCTTCTTGTAGACTGTGATGTGTTCCACGCCAGCCAGACTCTGAATAATGGCGTCGTCCTGGCCCTCTACCGGCAGAATCTGCATCACGGGGCCGTAACTCGGGACACGAGCTACCTTTGTCATGTCCACGTGATCAGATATGTCCACCACCTTAAAGAATAGTATTTAAAGGCATGGAAACAATTTGAATTTTTCTAATATTTTTCTAATATTTGCCTCTTTTAACACCTTCTGATAACATTAGTCCATAATTCTTATGCACAGTACGTTCAAAGCCTAGAAATGGTAGAGAGTCTTCGCAGGTTCTTTGTCATGCGCAGGATCTTTGTAAACACATAGTTCAACATTGTGATAGTAGTGATGTCAAATGAGTGTTCATATCATAAAACATGCACGTGTACCACATGGACAATTGTGCCTTCACTGCCTGTCCATCACACCAAATAATGTAAATCCTACGTATAAGATACATATTAAAAGTAAAACAATACTTCCCATAACTTCAATGCCTTAAAGTAAATTGTTAAACACGTGAACTTACTTTATTGACATTATCAATTGCAACCATGCCATGGTCACTAGTTACGATGACATTGATCTCGTGATCAAGACCATTGTCCTTCAACTTTTGAACGAGGTAACCAAGGATGCCATCCATTTCTTTGATCTTATCTTTGACCTCTTGCGAATCCGAACCAAACCTGTGTCCAGTAATATCAGGGTCCGCGAAATACAAGGTCGCTATTTTGACATCTTTGGTCTTGAACCAGTCCACGACGGTGTCCACTCGCCGCTTGTATGGTGTGCTGTATTTGTAGTGGAACCAATAGTCGGGGCGCACACCTCTTATCTCAACCTCACTGCCGGGCCAGTAGTAGGTGCCTGTCTTCAGACCCTGCATGAGGAATAAATAAATATAAACTACCTTTGTTAATTGTTATTCTAGAAGTTGATAATGGTCAGTTATGAACCAAAGCTGAAAGACAACTTCAACATTTCAGATGAGAAGTAGCATCTGTTTGCTCTCTTAACATTTTCTTATGAAGTTATATGACTCTGGAATTCTAATGTTTAGCTGACACTCTTTGATACAACTAAAATACTATACTTTTTAAATCGGTTTTATGGCCAATTCTATCACTCTCGTCCTTTGTGTCATTGAAACAACCGGAAGTTGTACCAGCATAGGGATTTAGAATCAGTAGAAACATACGTTTGAATAAATACAAGAGGTATAATGTCACCATATAACACATCTTTCTGGACTAATTGATTATAATGACTAACGAGAATCTAGTTTTCTCTAAAATCCTAATCGCTATGGTACCTGATTCTTGGCTGTAACCCACAATGGTTCTCCCCCATCCCACCAGCGAGACGAACGTGTGTTCATGGTAAAGGAGCTTTTGAACACTGGGTCGTACATGTAGTTGTCCGTGATGCCATGGCTTTCTTCCCAAAGTCCTGATAGGCATACTTTCATGTTAGTTTAAATTAAAAAGTGTAAAGACCTCTTAAAACTTCACGTCTTTGAAAGGCATTTTGAAGTGATACACATCAGGAGAATTGATAGATGTCAACTTCTTTATTACGAGGAACACAACGTTTGAGTTTATGCTTACTACTCTATCAGGTGAATGAATGCTATGCGGCAGAGAGCATATATATGTACCTGTAAGAACAACAAAGGTAATAACAATAAAGATAACGAACGGGTGGAGACTTGTTAGATTATCTGTTGGTTTCACTGGGAAAACAGTATGTGAAATGCTGGACCTCATTAATAACATCAACGTAAAATTTGAGGATACGAGATTTAGGCAAGACGTGAGCATCCCCATGGCCACCAGTTGTGCTCCCTTTCTTGATCACCCGTTTTTCTTTATGCTTATAAATGTACATTTCCGCTCGCATTGGCAAAGTCAAAACAAGGGAATTTGAATTTAAACTGAAGCCTCAGGTATATCGATGATATAATATCTTTCACTAACTGCCAAACCGCCTTGTCCCTGCCACCGATGTGCCCAACGGAACCAGGGTGGTGGTTAAAGCGTTCGCTCGTCACGCCGAAGACCCGGGTTCGATTCCCCACATGGGTACAATGTGTGAAGCCAATTTGTGTGCCCCCCGCTGTGATTTTGCTGGAATATTGCTAAAAGCGGCGTAAAACTATACTCACTCACTCACTCCAGCCTTTGGTGTCAACATTTCACAACTTCCGAGGTACAAGCCAGCATACTCTTTCTTTGAAGATTTCAAAGATTATCATACGACTTTTGTGAAAAAATTGTTTGATCAAGGTTACACCATTCAAGGCCTTAGTGAAGCTTTCAAATGATTTCACTAAAGTTTAACGGTAAAGTGGGTGGTCGACACGTAGATGTTTATAGACACACCTGTTGCTATGGTTTAATGGTTAAGGGGATGGTCGTCAGGAAGTTGTTTAAAGACATACCCGTTACTATATGGTTTAAGGGTTAAAGGGGGTGGGCGTCACGAAGCTTTTGGTTATAGACATACCAGTTACTATGGTTTAAAGGTTAAAGGGCGTGGGCGTCACGTAGCTGTT